TTTTGTTATCGTAAACACTCAGATCAAATACTGAAAGGCGAAACATTCAACTTCAAGAGATATTCTTGACACAAACAATGTAGCGTTGAAGTACGACCCATACTGTTGGTGGTCTCAATGAGGTATCCTCTACGCACTTACCTTAATAAAGCTAAAAGGGATCTATTGCGAATTGCCGTAAGTTTTGATAAATTAAATTTAAAAAAACATGTTTTTTTTTAACAAAAGTTTTGAGTTGAGGGACAGATCAGCCGCGATCTAATAGAATGGCAGAACAGGCTTGAGGGGCTGAATGGCCTCCTCCTGTTCCTACGTTTTCCTGTATGAATTTTAAAAAGGGAATTTTTTAAAATCTTTTGGTTGCAAAAAAAAAAAAAAGAAACGTCGCCAGTAAATCGGGAATAGGCCATTCCGTGCTATGGTGCTCGACCTCTGAAATATGGCTGGGCCAGTATTTTCTTTTACGCGCGGGTACCAAAAAAAAAAAATGCAGGCGAGGAATGGAGCAGAACTGGCGGAAGACAGCAAAACATGTTCAAACACGGGCCTTGTGAAAGGAGCAAGACGCGGCCTTAAAAGATGCCTCCAGTGCATAATCCGACGGACTAATTGCAAGAAATCAGAAGGCATTAACGAGCAGTAAATATGTGCCTAATATTTTCTGGAGAAACTGTTGCCTTTGTTTAGCTCGAGGCATTAGCAGCTGGAGAGCGGTGTATGATGGCAACGTTTGACAACAACAAAATTACATGTGTAAAGCACTTTTCACGTCAGGAGGATGTCCCAAGGCACTGGGGCAGTCGGTGTTTCAGGCCCGAGCTGGGGGGTCGGGATTGGGGAGGGTGGAGGCCAGGGGGGGAAAGGTGGGTGATCGAAGGCACGGTCGAAGACGAGGGTCTTGAGATGGGTCTTGAAGGAGGCGAGAGAGAGAGGTGGAGGGCCTGCGGGGTGGAGTTCCAGGGGGTGGGGGCAGAGTGGCAGAAGGCTCGCCCGTCAATGGTGGGCGGGGGAGCCTAGGGACGTGAAGCAGGCCGGAGCCCACTGAGTGGAGGGAGCAGACAGGTTGGTTAGGAAGTGGCAGAGGTGGGGGGGTGGGGGGGGTAGCAAGACCATGGAGGGCTTTGAAGGTGAGGACCGAGATCTTGAACTGTATCCTCTGTGGGATGGGAAGCCAGTGGAGTTGGGTGAGGTTGGGGTGTGATAGGGTTACTGGACCTGGTGCGGGAGAGGACACGGGCTGCAGAGTTCTGGATGATCTACAGCCTGTAGAGGGAGGAGTTGGGGAGGTTGACAAGCCTGGATGTTATGAATGCGGTGCGAGACAACGGTGGAGCCGGGCGATGTTGCGGAGGTGGGGAAGGCAGAGCTGTCGTGGTACGGATGTGGGGTAGAAAGGATAGTTGAGGGTCAAACAAGATGCCAAGATTTCGGTTTACTGTACATTCTGTGAAGCACTTTGAGACGTCTCGAGGACATGATAAGGCGTTAAATCAAATGCACGGATTATTATTATTATTCAGTGTGGACTTGTGTCCCTTTCATCAGGTACTGCACCAGGTCACCACTTCTGGTCCAAATCCCTGACTGTCCAGCGCCTTGGGACGTCCTCCCGACGTGAAAGGCGCTGAGCAAATGTAATTTTGTATTGTATTTATTTGGAGCTGTTGAATCATTATTGCTCAAATTGTTTTCCCGGCTATTTGTCACCTCCGACCTACGAGTTTCTGAAGGCAAACACACCTGTGTTCAGACAACAACCATGATTGGTTTCAGCGCCTTGGGACGTCCTCCCGACGTGAAAGGCGCTCTATAAATGTAATTTTGTTGTTGTTGTTGACGGATCAAGCATTTGATGTTACAGTATCAGATCCACAAATTCATTTAGGAAACCAGTTACCCACCAACTTCTCTTGGCTGATGTTAAATTCCCTGAATTACAGTAATTTGATTAAGTACTGAAAACTTTTGAAATGTTATGTTTGTTTGAAGGATGGGTGTATTTATTTCAGTTCATATTTCTGTAAATATTGATCAAGTTACACGTCCACTTTGTTGCTCCAGGACAAGACTGACTCCCTTTGAATTTACAACTTGATATTGCCCAGGACTCACCTGAATGCTCTATCGTAATAAGTCTAACTTTGGATTTTCATTCTGAATTATTATTACTTTGGTTATTTTCCATCTCTGTAAAGCATAGTCGCCATTTGCTCAGTTTGTGTCTGGCACCAGTGTCCTCACAGCCTGATTGCAATTTCCATTGCGTATCTATTTGCCGTTTTAAACTATTGAATATAATTGTTTGTTGCCGTGAATACATCTGTTTATTTTGTCTTGCAGTCACAAAACCATTCTATTTTTAATTACACGGTGCTCTGCGGAAGGAGAAACCTCTGCAGCAATTTGTTCAACACGCAGCAGGATGCAAATGACTTTCCTGCGGTTGTTTTGACAGAGTTTCCCGCATGTGTTTGAGTTTGGGCTCGACAGATGAAAGTTGCTGACTCTTTTATCAGTTGGGTTACATTTATGAAGCAGTAATATGTCACGTTTCCTGTGGACAGCAGGGTGTGATGGTTGGCTTCTTCCGCTGTTATGAAACCTAAACCCCTAAAAAGACTCCTCCTCCAGTGAGTGTTTATCTTACTCTCTTCTCAAACAAAACAACCACGTGGGTCAAATTGTAACGCTAAAGTAATCCAGCGACCAAGATTGTTAAGAGATCTATTATAACTGGTCTTCATTTTTCTTACAGTGAGGAAAAAGACATTCTGCTGAGGGGACTTAAAGGTAATTTCCCAGCTTATGAATGATGAGCTCAAGTATAACATGCTTTCCACTAATTATTTTGTGTGGTATTCTCACAATATCTTCTGCAGTGTGAGCACCACAGCCAAAGGCAAGAAGAACGTCAAATGCAAATAATAATAATAATAATAATAATGATAATCCTTAATGATAAGACTCCTTCTCTGTTATGTTTCTGGTAGATTTAGATGTGCAAGCGTGTGATTCTAGCGAAACAGGTGAAACGTTTTTATGTTATTTTTTCATGACGCAGACGAAAATCAAGATGACATTGTCCCTTTGGTTGAACATTTAGAATCAGGTCAGTGCTGTGCCATTCTTCACACTCTCACAGTCACCCCACTGAACATTGTCGCATTTGAGACATTTGTGACCGCTGCTGCTACACGCTTCGTTCATGAATGTTTTCTTCGTGCTTACGCAACTTTAAAAGACGATAATCATGGGAGACGATTCTATGACATCAAGGTGTCAATTAGGTCTTATGATTTCTTTCTTGTAATGCACTCCTCAGATCTCAGAATTTCTCTCTCTCTCTCTCTCTCTCGATTATGAGTCTTTCAAAAACATCTGAAAAGGTTTGTTTTAGACACTTTTTTCTAACTTTTCTTTCTTGTGATAAGCTTCCGATGATGAAAGCTCGACATCCTCATCAGAAGAGAGTAACTCTGGTAAGTTGAGGCTGTGTTTCGTGCACTGTCCTGGATTTAGCTGCAGCACTTGGTGTTCAATGATACTCAGTGTTAAGACAGAAACGTTTCCCAAACAATGTTTTTTGGAGGGTGGGTTAAGTGTTCCATCGAAGACACCACAGGGATCAGTTGACAATATTTATTTTGAGGTCTGTATTTATATCCTAATGCAAAGAACTTGTGTTTTTTTTTAAATTTCTTTATTGCTCTTCCAGAAAATGGGAATACAGGATCTGAGGAGGAAACAGGTAATTAAATTCCTTTAGGCCTGCTCAATAACTGTACACACGCGTTTCTCCAGGTGGCCATGTTCACGCCTAATAATAATCCCTCCAAAACCAAAACAATAATAAATTGGTCATTTTCAATCCCCGACTGTTTGTGGGACATTGCTGTGCGCAATTGGCTGCCGTGTTCGCCCACAAATATACAGTCAATTCACTTTACAGTGTGTTCTGTGAAGCGCTTTGGGACGTTCTCCCGACGTGAAAAGCTCTATATCAAATGCAAGGATTATTATTGTTATTATTATTATTCAGTTTTAGCGGCCATCGCTTGTTATTGTTCATAGTCTTGCTCCCTCCCTTGACTCCTTCAACGCACATCTCAAAGACCCTTCTCTTCGACCACGCATTTGGCCACTCTTCTACCTCTGCCCTCCACCCCCTCTGATCCCAATCCCCAGCTCGGGCCCAAATCCCCAGGCTATCCAGCGCCCCAGGACGACCTCCGACATGAAAGGCGCTTTACAAACGTGACTTGCGGTGGCGGTTGCTGATTGTTCGTGCTGAATCCAGGGCTCGTTTAGTCATGATTTTTGTGCATTTGCAGTTAGAAATTGCAACAATATGTAGTTGCTAAAAATTTGCCGTACAATCTTTCATTGTTTAATTCTTGTCATACATTCTCGTTTTTGAAACTTTAAACATTGCCATGAAATTGTCTTCAATGTTTAGATAAGGAAGAACCACGACCTTCTGCTTCAGGTGATAACTCTATAAAAATATATTTTAAATATACAGTGTTTGTACAAGCTCAGAATAACTATATCGGTAACAGCTATTAATGTAGAATTTATCAAACCACCTGACAAGAAGTATTGCTTATCACAGCATGTTTTACACAGATAATAGGCATTAGAAGCTTTGTAGTAAAAAGGTTAAATGTGACTGTTTGACTATTTTACTTTGTAAATTACAACATACCCTTTAAAAACCTAAAACCTCTTTATTACGCCTTGATCTTTATGTTTCGTTCATCTCAAATGAAACAAGTTGATTAAGAATGGAGAACAGGAAGTACTCAACTTCTCTATTGGCTTTTATTTTTCCAATAAGCGTAAAAAATTTTTAACAAATGAACTCATTGTTTTCCAGGAGACCACAACTGTGAAGATACAACAATCCCAACAAGTCAGGCAGATTCAGGTCACTACCTTTTTAAATTAATTAATAAATTGATTTGTATGAATTCATATTAATTATCATTATTAGTTCAAAACGCTCTATTTCTCCAGAGGCATTTTGGTAACCTATTTTTCATCAGTGAAGATTCCTGACGGCTTTTCCTGTTCGCTGTGTAATCTGTTGAATATCGTATTTTTTGCTCACAGGTATCGGTACTGAGCCGTTCTGCCCGAACTGCTCCAGCTCTCATGCGGTGAGTCATTTTTATACAGTGTTTTTATAATTCGTAGAATCGCTTTGTTTTTAACGAAAGGCGATTGCGGAGGCAAAGACTGCCAGGACAAATTTGTAGTGTAACTGCAATAGCGGAGCGCAAGCACACATCAGTGTCACGTAAATCTCCATTGCAATATTTTCTTTTAATTAACAGAATGAGAGCTGGGAACAAGTAACACCCAGAAAGATACAGGAATGCTTCCAGTAAGTATTTTCACAGGAATTTATCAGTAATAGTAATTGGACGTTGCCCGTTTCAAGTCAAGTCAGCTTCTCCTCTTGATTTTGTGTACAGCTTGAAGTTGGATGACGAAGGAAGCTTCCAATGTACTGTGACTGGACTAATGTTTGAGGTGACAGACAAGGTCCACATCAGTTACTCCATATTGTCTTGGTGCAAACACGACACATTTCTGCAGGGCAGTTGGAAAGTTTGCGGTCCGTTGTTTGACATAAAGTGCAACAACCCAGCCTTGTTGAAGAGCATCTTGTTCCCTCACTCCCTCTGCTTAACAGGTGAGTTTCTTCCAGAATATTTAAAGATCGCAACTCACGTTTCCTTTCCTTTGTACTTTGTACTTTCTTCCACGCCTTGGAGTGAGTGTTCACATCATTCTCTACTGACAAACAACAACAAGATTACACTTGCAGTGCGCCTTTCACGTCGGGAGGACGTCCCAAGGTGCTGGACAGAGTACAGCATTTCAGACCCGAGCTGGGGTCTGGGGGGGAAGGGAGTGGCCGATGGAGGGTCTTGAGGCAGGACTTGAAGGAGGCTAAGGAGGGGGCGAGGCGATACATTTCAGCTTGAAGGGCCTACACTCTGGACATCAACAAGCAGGAGACTCGCACAGAAGCTAAAGATGATCATGCATGTCGATACTTTTACCCATTAGCGTTAGTTGGAGTGGAAGTCCGGCTGTCACAGAAAACCACAGCATCTTGAAGCCACTCAGAAAAAAAAATGCTTGTGATCTCTTTTCCTATTTCCTTGTTACCCACCGCTGGATCCATTTCCCAAGCAAGCAATCTGTTCTAAAGGCCCTCATAAAATTTCCGTGCAGAGAACAAGAGCAGAATGAATTGCCTCCTGCGTACAGTTTTGCCTCTGCCCCTCTGGGAAGCACCTTGCCTCTTATCGATGCCTATCGTAAATAGCCACCTAACGCATGGAATTAGCATTGCTGTCTCAGTAGCTCAGCAGAATATAATACAGGGTGTTAATAAGATAAGAACATAAGAATTTGCAGGCGAAAGAAGACCAAGGTCCATCCAGTTTGCCTTCCACCATCCTGGCAGTCGCATGACATGTCGTGTCCCAAGCTATATATTATGTTCACACAGTCCTGTTACCCCGCCATGTTTTGTGTCTGTAGTGCACTGACCAATAACCGAAACATGTCGAAGCATGATGATAATTGTACTTAGAAGTACTTAATACTATTCAGTACAAATGTTTGACTGTATTTAGACGTCCAGAGGATTGGGGTGAGTGAGTGAGCTCTATCAACTTCATGGCAGGTAATTGATCCGTTGCCATGTTTGGTGTGACATCTTCCCTAACGTGGATGGAGTGAGGAGAAAGTTACTGATAGACATTGTTACACTTGACTCGTCTGCAACAGAGAATAAAAATTAATTGTAAGTGAAAGCAGGGAGGGTAACAGGACTTTGTGAACACCCTGTAGGACAAAATGATTTCTAACATTGACTTTTTTTTTAAAAAAAAATGACAGTGAGTTGCTTTATCTTTACTGATCTGTGTCCCAAACCTTTGCAGGTCACTCCTCTGATTTGCAGTTCAAAATATTTCACGTCAAGGACAAGAAAAATGAAATCGAGCACTCGGTTGATTTTTCACCAACGCATGTTAAATGGAACGTTAGCTCTCTCTCACCTGTGGGGCCAGTCTATCAGAATTCCACGGAAGATGTACAGCACCATGGCGTTGTCCTGATTTATAAGGTCGTCGACTGCCACCCAGGCTTGTTGTTTCGTGTGTATATGGCAGTCAATAACGACTCCGTCATTAAGGTACGGACTGGATTAACTGGAGTGATTTCGCAATGGTAAAATGGTGGATTTGTTGCCCTCCGTGTTTCCGCCACAGCTGCACCTTGCGGCAAATCATAACGCTCTGTGTTTGAGATTTAACGGACTGCTTACTGAAATTGACGTGATTTGAAGAGGATTTTGTTTTTTTTGCATTCATGCCCTCTTTCCATTTTTTTTTAAAGGATATCATTAAGGCTGAGAAACATTCCAAAAAGAAATCTGTTAAAATCGATAAGCCTACACCCTGCCTCAAGAAACTGACATTAGGAAAAACATACAGACTGCTCAGTGAATCACAGGCTGACATAATTCCTGGGGTATGTTGGAAGGAATAATGGTAGACGATTTTCTTCTGCTTGAGTGCGAATGCTACAGCAAATCTTTTTATGTATGAACACGATTCTGAACAAGCAGTGACAAGATTGCCGTGCCCGCATGAAAAGTAGACACAAAAGGAAATATAAAGCAAGTCGCATTGTTACCTTTTTGTTGAGCGTGAGATTCATGTTGGGATTTTGTGGTTCATTTCTTTAGGAAATTGAATTCATAGATATGGGATCTCTCAAAATCAAAAGTTATTATGAAGTGTATCTGGAGCATCCAGTAGACTTCGACCTGTCACTGATACAGATCGACTCGAGTGAGAAAATATGGACCTCGAAACTACGGGAATGTAAGTATCTACGAAATGGCAATTTGACTGGATTCTTCAGAGCAGTGGGACACGTTGGGACAAGAGAAGAACGGGCACTGATGATTTTTGTCACTCACACTGTAGCTGAGTACATCTCAAGACCCTCCTCTTTGACCATGTGTTCGGCCGCCCTCCTACCCCTACTCTCCCTGTCCTCAACCCCTCCTGATCCCAACCCCCTGCTCGGGTCCAAAGCCCTGACTGTCCTGTGCCTTGGGATGTCCTCCCGACATGAAAGGCACTGTACGCATGTAATTTGTTGTTGTCGAGTCAGCAACAAAGCTCTTCAGGTTTTGCCTGGTGCTGAAATCTGTCAAAGCCCATAAATTGGGAACCCTTGAAGTCTGTATTTTGAAGCAGGTTCTCTCAGCACAGAGTCGACAGACCTTCAAAGGATCCAATTTTTAACTGCATTAACATAGAGACCTGAGCCAATTCAATGTTAACATTATAAAAGTTAACAAATTTACATTTGAGTGCAAAGTCGCTAAAGAGCTAAGAGCTAAGAGTGGATACTTTCTCCTGTACAACTTAAGATTCTCCTAATTGCTAAGTGAAATGGGTCTCCTTAAAATATAACTTTTTTTTCTTCCCTTTTAATCTCAGAAATGTCTTTTTAATGGCGAATTCACTTTGCAGGTGATTGGACAAACATTAACTGCAATGACAATCGCAAAGGGAGAGACGTTAACAGTGAGTGTTTATTGTGGTCATTTGTTGGCAAGAAGATCAGGAAGTTAAAAAAAAATGTTTAGTTAGGGCAGACCATAAACGTTTTTTTATTCAACAATTTGTTGAATACAATGGAGCCCTTAGTTTGAAAATATTTCCTTTAAAAGATCGAGTATGTTGTTTAAAGGATTAATTGATAAGAATGGTTGAATGCCATAGGCATTTGCTGTGAGATACTTACAGTAATTTAAATATAATAATAATCTTTGATATAGCGCCTTACCGTACTGTTGAGATGTCTCAAAGCGCTTCACAGAATATATTGTAAAGTGAATTGACTGTGTATTTTGTGGGTGAATTGTGGCAGCCAATTCCACACAGTAGTGTCCCACAAACAGTCGTGGATTGAACGACCACATTTTTAAAATGCAAATTGAGAGAAATATAATAGATAAAATTCCACTTGGGTTTAGATTTACTCTATCAACGTAGCATTTCAGAGTGGCAAGAATTTGGCAAATTCTTAAACACAGACATTTTTCTGTACTTTTTAAAGACTGCATAAAATGGCTTCAGATTTAAGAGAGTGGTTCGGAGAGAAAATGAGCAGGTTAGGCTTTTATATTCTATAGACCTGGTGTCCTCTGAAAAACAATCAGGTTTAATGCCCACATTTGCCAACAGAAATACTTTGAGGCTATCCATGTCAACTCATGAAATGCTAGAATATAAGGAGGGGGAATCATGTAAGTTTTAAGTGGGATTCACTGATAATTAGCATGGAGTTTGTCAGGGCACTCACTGGGTTTTATGCAGTTATCAGCTTTAACAGAACATTTCTTTGGTGCCTTGCAGAAAACAAAAAAAGAAAATCCTCCAGTGACGATTACGAGGAAATGGGCATTAGCAAACGATCACGAAAGAATGGTACAAGTACAGTAATTATGGTTATTCGATAGAATTTAACTGCCGGATGTAATCGTAACAATTTACACCTGGTGCATAGTAAAAGCAGAGGGTCTGTAAAATTGATGTGCTGTTCCAGGTCTCTGTAACCTGTGGGTTTGTGTTATTCGGCACAATGAAACGCATCATCGAGAAATAATTTAGTACTAAAATGCAATTACCAAAAACCAATTTTTTCTTGAAAACGAGTTTCATTTGATGCCCAGATATCGTAAGCGTCCGCCCCCCTGCCCCCCGCCGCCGCCGCCACGAGAAATACGTTGGTATTTAATCTTGCTTTTTTTTAAAAAAAAAAACGGATTTTGAAACCTTATTTACAGTCTGATTTGGTTGAATTTGATGTTTTGTGGCGTTTCATCAATAATTGAACCTCATGCTTTCGATTCTGCTGAAGCTCTGGCGCGTAGGTTGTGACACACTATGTAGTTACAGTGAGATGCAGCAGAGGACGCTGTAGTTCTGACTTCTGTAAAGAAAAAGACTTTGAATTGGCATTTTACCAAGGGTGGACAAAATGTTTCATTTGATACCTGTATCTCGACAGTATGGATTGCGTCTCTGGTTACATTCTGACTTTTCTTTGCCAACCTTTTTGCTGCATAATAGCAGCTTTGAAGTTTTCAATGATCCACACTGAAGTCGTAAATAATGTAATTATCGCACTTGTTGGCATAAAGTAACTGAAACCATGTTTCCCATCAGCTAAAAGCACTGATTATCAAGAAAACGCCCTAAATAACAAACTTCCATCTGTGGCGTTTCCAGCGGAGAGATCACATAGATCAGACTATTTTTTTTCTATATTGTGCACTGAATACACTTTCCACAAATCACATTTTTCCCGTATTATGCAGCAATTTACAGCATCCAGAATTCGGCAACTCTTCAATCTTTTTGTTTGATTCCATTATTCTATATACTAGTATTTGTTAAAATACTGCAACTTGCACCAACATATTTCTTAAGTTTATGTTTTAAAAATATGGGGGGGGGGTGTTGACGACAGAAAATAGACGACATATAGTATTGAACTAAGACCTCCAGTCAGGTGACACAGCCTTGATATGTTTTGGGGCTCCACAGAGAAGAGGAGAATAAATTTTGTATAAAATTTGAAAGGCGAAAACATCATTAGTTATCGTGTTGTTTTGGTAGCATTTAGTTTTCAAGATGACTGCTGTTCCCTATACGGAACTGTTTCCACCGGACGCCTAAACATTTTCAGTGACTCCCTTGCTGCGAATCTCTAAATGAATGTTTCTTTCCTCAGCAGATGGAACGCTGTGCAAAAAGAATATCCTGACCGAAAAGCAATTAATGCAGCTAGCTCAGAAAATGGACAAAAATTGGCCAGTCTTTGCCATCAGCTGCCTGGATTTACAGTCCCAAGATATCGACCAGATTAAAAAAGAGGATGAAATTGTCACGATTCAAATATTTAATATGTTGAAGAAATGGAAAAATCTGGAACTGGACAACGCCACTCCTTCCAACCTCCTTTTCAAACTCCGAAATGCGAATATTAGTCCCGAGGTCGCAGCTATCCTAGAAGGTAAATAGAGTTGGGAATGGGGATTTGCGATTGGTAGAGAAACTGACGATTTCAAATCCTTGTCTGTGCTGAGGTAACTGATCCCAACTGAGGCAGCGAGTGAGGTGGTACGTTCCCTGGGCAATGGAAAGGGGGGAGGAGAGGGAGCGATAGGATGCTGATGTGCATTGATTTTTGATAGGATCGAGCTCAGCTAAGATGCCCCGCGTTGAGGTCAAATAGCCTGTCGACACTCAAAGCTTACCCATGAATAATGGTCACGTGCGAGAGGTGCTGGAGGGCATCCATGGAACTGTACCCAAATAGCGGCGACAACTTAGGCAATTGCATTCAGAAGAGGAGGATCAAGGCGACAGACGCCACCAGCTTCACACACTGATTCTCTGGGTAACTGAAATACAGGATTCTTTATTGCTCAAATAGCCATTAGGCTTGCACAGTATGTTTGGGTGATTAATACTGTCCATTATTACTGCATTTATACCCATTGCGTTATTACTTCCTCGCAGATTTCGATCAGAACACTGAAGACAATAATACTCCTTGCACTTGAAAGCATGAACATGGTAACACACGAATAAACGAAGTTGAGAGAGGCCCTTTGCAAACCATTTATGTAGCCTCCGGCAAGTCGATTGATTCCACGTTGTTTACGGCTTCTGTTCTGCGGGTTCAATTCATCCAATTTTGTAAAATAGCAAAAATCAAAAGGTTTGCAGGATTTGAATGTTGTACAGTAAATGTCTAAGCTGTGAACCTATGTAATATACACGCTACAGCCTTTAGCTTTGGAAATTATTTTTGTATGAAAAAAGGATGTCTTTCCTCCTTTAGAAAAGTAAATCCGTTTAAATCTTACAAATAATCAAGCACAAATAATTTAGGATTCTAGAGCATTATATGCTGATTTGAATTTTTTTAATGTAAACAGAATTTCAATGTAAGACAAAACCAGATTTTAAAATGTAAAATGTAGCAGTAAATAGTGAGGAGGACGTTTTGAGTGACTGTGAAGAAAACTTTTTTTTTGCACTTTTCAATAAAATCACAATTTTTTTAAATCTCAGTTTCTTTTCTTCTGATCAAACAATGGGAAAACGGTAGGTAAATGGGACTAAAAGGATTGCTCTTAAAAGATGGCTTTCTTCTGTAAATCTCTGTGGTGTTGTGCTTCTAAGAAGTCGTGGGAAGGAAAAAGGAAATATATCAACTCTTGCTGTTGTCACACTGTGAGCTCAAAGTCATGATGTTTCTTGAATATGCAAACTTTTCACCGAGAAGCTAAACATCTAACAACATTATACTGCTATATTTATTCTCACCCCTATCTTGTGATTACGCACCATTCATTAAATCACATTGTTGGTATAGAACACTTACTAGAAATGATACATGAACTCGTGACTTACACAACAGTTGACAGTATTAATCCCCCATCCTCGCCCGACTCCACTGGCTTCCCATCACACAGAGGATCCTGGTCAAGATCCTAGGCCTCACCTTCAAAGCCCTCCATGGCCTTGCTCCCCCTTACCCCTGCGATCTCCTAACCCCCTACCAACTGCTCGCTCCCGATCTAGATGAGGACATCGGAGTTAATGTATCCAAATTCGCGGATGACACTAAACTAGGAGGGAGAGTAAACACTGAGCATGACATTAAAAAAATGCAACGAGATATAGATAGGCTATGTGAGTGTGCAAATAGGTGGCAGATGAAGTATAATGTAGGGAAGTGTGAGGTCATCAAAACAGGGCAAAAGGAAGAAAGACATCCTTTGAATTTTTTTTGCACTTTTCAATAAAATCACAATTTTTTTAAATCTCAGTTTCTTTTCTTCTGATCAAACAATGGGAAAACGGTAGGTAAATGGGAGGTAATCTAGAAACTAGATCGTGTTAGCGTTCAGAGGGACTTGGGTGTCCTTGTACACCTGTCACAAAAAGTTAGTTTGCAGGTCCAGCAAGCAGTTAGGAAGCTAACGGTATGTTGGCATTTGTTACAAAAGGGATGGAATATAAGAGTAGGGAAGTCTTGCTGCAACTGTATAGGGCCCCGGTGAGACCGCACCCAGAGTATTGTGTGCAGTTTTGGTCTCCTTATTTAAGAAATGATGTACTCGCTTTGGAGGGGCTACAACGTAGATTCACTAGGATGGTACCAAGGATGAGGGGGATGGGTTATGAGAATAGGTTGAGCAATTTAGGCCTATATTCTCTAGAATATATGAGAGGTGATTTTATAGAAACCTATAAGATTATTAAGGGGCATGACAGAATAGATAGTGGGAGAATTTTTCCCCTGGTTGAAGAAACTATAACTAGGGGTCATGGTCTTAAAATTAGGAGTAAGCCCTTCCTCATTGAGTTGTGGAAAAACTTCTTATTGAACGACGGGGCAGGCTAGAGGGGCTGAATGGCCTACTCCTGCTCCTAATTCTTATCTTATGTTCTTATGCTCCCTCTGCTCAGCAGGCTCTGGCCTGCTTCACGTCCCCTGCCTTGCGCCCCACCATTGACGGGCGAGCCTTCTGCCACTCTGCTCCCACCCTCTGGAACTCCATCCCGCAGTCCCTCTGCCTCGCCCTCTCCCTTGCCACCTTCATGACGCATCTCAAGACCCTCCTCTTCGACCATGCCTTTGATCACCCTCCTTCTCCCCCTGCCCTCCACCCTCCCCAATCCCGACCCCCAGCTCGGGTCCGAAACACTGATTGTCCAGCGCCTTGGGACGTCCTCCCGACATGAAAGGGCACCATACAAATTAATTTTGTCGCTGTTATACCAACATAAAGGGAATGAGGAACTGCTGGAAGGAAATTGTGGTCAGGTTAATGGTGAGAGAGAACAGAAAATAAGATGTTACGTGGAGCAAAAGAACTAGACTTTGTCTAATCATCAGCCATGATCTTATCGAATGGCGGGGCAGGCTCGAGGGGCCGAATGGCCTACTCCTGCTCCTAATTCTTATGTTCTTATGTTCTTAATTTTTGTGCTCTCTTTCTAAATGCTCGAACCTACCTGACACTACCAAAAACCCATTGCCTGGCGATGCTTACGTGTATCGAACACCTTGAAACTCTGGAACTCTCTCCCTCAATCCCTCCAACTTTCACCCCTCCCTCCGCGCCCAAAGACCTTCCTTTTTAATCGTGCTTACGGTCACTTCCCCCCCTCCCTCTCTGCCTGTTTAGTTATCAGACTCCACCACTGTCAGGCGCTCTGGGACACTACTCCACTTGAAAGGCGCTATTATAAACACAACTTGTTGTTGTCGATGGGTTTCCGCAGGTCTTAGACGCCCGGCTGATAAAAATAAAGGGACAATAACTAAGAATAATAAAACAATGGAACAATAACGAGCAGTTGTTTCACCATTAATGGCAATTTGGGCATTCACAGCAATGATCTCATGACTTGCTGCTTGCCAACAAACCCAAGCCCTGCAGAGAAACCTTACCTTAGGTCTGAACTGCCTGATTAACAACACAAACAACAGCCACAGCCGGGCAGGATATGAAGCCTTTGCTGTAATAGCATAACAATAACGTTGGGTATGAGTTGGGTGTTTTTTTCTGGGTTAATAAACACAGATACGCAAGTTGGGAGTTGGGAGGCTTTGGCTGGTTTGTGACTAGCGCAGCATTGAAGATGTGGGTTGGATTTGGGTTGTGGGTGTTGATTGCCCAGAGTCACATCCCGTCTGGCTGTGTCTGTCTGGCTGTGTGTCTGGCTCTGGCTGTGTGTCTGGCTGTGTGTCTGTCTGGCTGTGTGTGTCTGGCTCTGGCTGTGTGTCTGGCTGTGTGTGTCTGGCTCTGGCTGTGTGTCTGGCTGTGTGTGTCTGGCTCTGGCTGTGTGTCTGGCTGTGTGTGTCTGGCTGTGTGTGTCTGGCTCTAGCTGTGTGTCTGGCTGTGTGTGTCTGGCTCTGGCTGTGTGTCTGTCTGGCTCTGGCTGTGTGTCTGGCTGTGTGTCTGGCTCTGGCTGTGTGTCTGTCTGGCTCTGGCTGTGTGTCTGGCTGTGTGTGTCTGGCTCTGGCTGTGTGTCTGTCTGGCTCTGGCTGTGTGTCTGGCTGTGTGTCTGGCTGTGTGTCTGGTGGTTGGGAGTGAAGATGTGGTGCAGAGAGTGAGTGAGTGAGATTGGGGAGGGAATTAGTGTCAGTGAACTGGAGAGTACCCAACCCTTTGGGACTGTCCTTCTCTGCTCTCTATTCTCCTTTCAATGAACAGCCTCTGTTTCCTTGTTGGGGGCTGTGGACTGTTTTGATGTGATTTTCCAGATTGTCAGATTGAAAGCGTTGGAGCTGCTGTTGGAGCTGAACACACTGACCTTTTCTGATAAAGTCATTGTATTATTGTTCACTGATACTGAGCTGTTTACCGAAAGTGACCCATTTCCCCAACCCCAGCTCTCTCTCTCTCTCTCTCTCTCCTCTCTCTCTCACAGAAACCAAAAGACGTGGAAAGTTGATGAAAACCAAGTCGAGGAGGATTTACACAACCAGAGAAAGAGGAAACGTACAGAGAAACTCCTGTGGATTGGGACTGACTGCTCCACTTGCTGTTGCACAGGTTCTTTGCATTGGATGTTGGTTGGTGTGAGAGAACCTTGAGCACCCAAGGACTTTCATCCCAACTTGTCACCCTATCGATTTCCGATCAGGTTAATAAGGATCAATCAGCAAGTGGTGATATTAAATAACAACGCATTACATTTACACGGCGGCTTCCAGGTCGGGAGGACATCCCAAGGTGTTGGACAAGTCAGGGATGTGGGATCGGGAGGGGTGGAGGGCAGGAAGCAGAGGGAGTGGACAGGTTGATATGAGGTGGGGGTGGGGGGGCGAGGTGGGGTGGGGTGTGGGGGGGGGGTGGGGGGGGGGCGAAGAGAATAAAATACAAAAACAAATTTCCTGGAATTTTTGGAAAATTCTATAAGATCCTGCGTTCGATTTATTATTTTTTCAATGGAGTTTCCCTCGGTTTTGGACATATTTAATTTGCAAGAGTTACTTACGCGTTCAAATTTCAAAGAGATAATTTCGACTGCAAAACAGCGCTGGACGGTTGTGCGGTCTGTCACCAAGACAGGTGAAATACCAGGCAGGGCAGCAGATTCCTCCAGTTTTGAAAGCGAGCAGAAGGATTTTAGTTCAGCGGTCAGTTTTTAAGGTTAAAGTTAATTAAATGTTGACAAATAAATGCTCAAATAATGTACAGCTACATTCGTATTCAATGCTAACGTGACAAGGATCATGGTTAAGATAAGAAAAAAAACTGCTTTGGAGTAGGGATACAGCAACACAACAATACTGTACCATTTGTACTGGATTGAATCTATATTCTGGTCAACACTCCTCCAGGTGAAGAATGTGTCCTCATTCACCTCTTGGCTCTTGCTGTGAGCAAACATCTGGTACCAATTTTGTTCCTCGTATCTTCTAGATAATTTCATTGTGTATTTTGTTNCTTTTACCGGGGTCTGGTCAAAACGTCAAACAAGCCCACCTTTCAGCGGGTATCTCTGGATAGATCCTGTGGCATTTCAGCTCCTTGGGGCATCCTTCCTACTTTGAAAGGCTTTATGTCAATATCATTTTGTTGTTGTGGCACGATTCGAAAAGAGAAGGGAATTTCTTCCAGTATCCTGGCCATCAATTTCTCACGTAATTGCAAATAGCACAAAAAACCTAAATATCTCTACATGTTTATAAAGTGCCTCATTATATCTTCCCATAAATAGCTTGATTTTATTATTTTGCTTTATGTGTCCCTTGACTTGACACTTACACCTTTTCATAAACATATATATCATCACAGTGCTACTTGTGCATGTCGTTAAACAATCTCTGTGGCAACACAGCTTCGATGGCATTTGATAACCGTTTAATCTTTAAAACAAAGTTTTCAATATGTAATAGATGATCCCTTGTAGTGGAGTCTCCCTATTGCTCCCATTAATGCCTCTGGATTAATGAACTAGTTTGGTCGAGTTTTTCTTAGCAGGACAGGTTGCAGCACAAATAAATTGTACTATGATTTTATTTCAAGACTGATACAATATAAAATGGCATTGCACTTTTGAATAAATAAATACATTAAACATTAAATAAACTATGAACAATAAAAATCCATAAGTGATGTCAATAATTTATTCAAGTGCTTTTCAGGATCCAGAGTACACAGGTACATTTTCATATGGCTTTTTAGAGCATCACAATAAAACACAGATACATTTTCATCTGTCAGCGCACAACTCAATATACTTCTAAATGCAAAGATATGAACAGACAGATCCACACAAGTGATGGCCTTTTGACAGATTTACAATACATGAATGAATTATGTCGGTCTTGGTAAAGAATTAAAGCTATATTCCACTTTCACAACTGAGTTGTTCTGCTTATTCTTGTTTTTTGTTGGAAAGCCCCAAGGTGATTTATTTGGTATTAATAGACACGAATAGAGTACAATAGAAAAACATTATGTTTTTTTCACGTGAGTTATTAGCTTGTTTTTACTTCGCTTTTATTTGAAGTTACATGTATTGGTTTATGAAATTTTGATTCATCCTCATAAAACTGATGGAACATAATGGATGACTGATAGTCAGTAATCTCGAGGGTTCAATCAAAATCATGAACTGTGAAAGACAGCCTTGCAAACTGCTTTTACAGTCCCGAACTGACATGCCACCACTTAGAGCAATATAGCTATTCGGAGAGGGGAAACCGGATTAATCTCTATCTGCTTCAAATCGCTCTAACCTGGTGCTGCAGAAAGCTTTACAAATGTGCCTTCGGCTGGGTATCTGCAGAATGCGAATTAATTTTCTAATCTGATTGAAAACTCGGAGTGTGATCAATTCTCTAATAACATTTAAAAACCTGAAGAAAAAAGAGTTACAATCGCATTGATTCAATTACAAGACCACCTCTTGGAGGTTCAGAACTGATTCCCCGTAAATGCTGTACGTTTAGCAATGATTTGATGCAGAAACTGCATCAAGTCACTGTGTTAAAACTACAGTATAAAAAAGTACTTTAAACTGCAGGAATGTACTTGATAAGAAGACCCCAGTCTCCTTTCCAGTCAGTTTCTTGCCCGCTCAGCTTATAGACAGTGATACTGAAACATACCTCACTGTGAGAAAGTTGCTTAACTATAAAGGGTAGCTTTATCACTGTTATGTACTTTAAACTACATCTAAAACAATTATAATATAAATTATACGTAGAATGCAATGTACTTCATTTCTGCCTCTCTCTAATTTCAATCTACTTTCCCATTCTCTACTATCCTAGCTTTAATTTTAAATGTGTATCTTCTACCAAATTAGAAATTCAGCAGTTGCGAAAATTCAGTGTTACCCATTAAAAAAAAGGAAATTGATTAGTGCAATAATGTGGATGTTTTAATTCTAGCAATTAGGTTTCCAATTAAAATCCCGGTGTATGAAATTCGATTTAACTCTACGACATGAAAAAAATGAATCCTAATCAAATCAATCATCTTTCCTTAGAAAGAAAAAGATAGATAAATAAATAAGTTAAATAAATAAATTCTTCTTACAGAAATAGGATGGATGCAACACACACACACACACACACAAACACACATATACGACCAAAAAGTTGTAATGCCATTACAATGTCTTATAAGTCTTAAAGAAATTATGATTTTTTTTAAATAATAGGATGGTTATCACAACTTTTTGGTTACCCTGAATATACTGCATATATAAACCCTGAGCAAAATTGCTATCTGGAGTACATCAAATGACTGCAATAGAAAGTGAACGTTTCTATTGTTGTGGTTGATTTTCATTGAGGTGGTTCATAACCCTGTTAATGGTGACAGTGCGGAGCTTGAGGGCATGCAAGAGTTTGCACAGCACCATCCTCTGGGAAAATGTATCGCCACTTCTCTCTTCTCCCTTTGCCACCGAGTTCAATTCAGAATCTCTGTCTTTGCGGACTGAATCCGAATTGATAGCCTGTGAAGAAAAATCATAAATTGCACTTTTTAATTATAGCAAAACGATTTCGCAGCACGAACAGGTGATCGCTGAAGGTCGAGATAAAAGTAGATTGTTTAATCTTAAATTGAATCTAGAATCAAGGGCGGTTCAGAAGTTTTAGCTACAAGAAGCTTAAATGAGTGGTGGGGGATAATTTAAGATGCTTCTGAAATGCTGGTCACTAAGACAGTGTTGCTTTAATTAAACAGAACAAAGGTAACTACATTTCTACAGGTTTATTACAGAGAGAAAAGGAGTTCTGGTAAATCTACCAATAATAATAAACCTTGCATTTGATACAGCGCCTTATCACTTCTGTGAGACGTCTCAAAGCCCTTCACAGAATATATTATGAAGTGAATTGACTATATTTTGTGGGGAAACTTGCCTAAGGTTTCACCCCACCCGGGAATTGAACCCGGATCCTCTTGCTTGTGAGATGATTGCTCTAACCACTGCGCTTCAGGAATGAGAGAGAAACCAGGGAAGGGAATAAGAGAAAGAAAAACTGTACCTTTAGGAGATGTTCAATGCTCTTGGACAGGTTACTGGTGATGTGAGTAAAATTCTGTAGCTTAGCCTGGTAGATCAGTAGATCGGATGTAATATTTTGAAGGCACTGCAGATGGAAATAAATGAAATCAACGTTAGACAGACGTAATTCCAAACATTTAAGCAGCTAAACTGAGGATTGAATGAATCACCTGAGTTCACATACCTGGCTGGATTCGAGACAGCACCCCTTGGAAGGGTTACCTTCTTGGCACTCGTGAGACATCTAAATACACAAAGAATGGAGGTTATATAATTCTAATAATAATAGTACTTGCGTATCATGTCGTTGAGTCATCTCAAAGCCCTTCACAGAATTTACTGTAAAGTGAAAGATTATATTTTTGGAGGCGAAACTCGACAGAATATACTGTGTCCCACAAACAGCCTTGCATTGAGTGACCAAATTATTGTTGCTATTATTGCTTTCGAGGGGTTATTAATCCTGGAAAGTGATCCAACAATCGACTAACAACCAGATTCCTACTTACTGCTAGGTAAGCAGAGGTGTGTAGAGTAACGAAAATTGCCTAAGTTATCGCCCTGCCCGGGAATTGAACCTGGGTCCTCTCACTTGCGAGGCGAGTGCTCTAACCAATACATACATGACTCCAAAAATAGCCTTCAGCTAAGAAAGAATTGATCTGAAGGAGTGTTTTCACTAATAATAATAATAATAAATTAAAATAAGAGAGTATTTTCAGTAAGATTCCTGCAACTTACCTGTTCACAGGTTGAGGCAGTACTGGTGTGGTTCTGAGTGATGTCTTGCAGTTCCATCTCAGTATCAGCACTACAGTTAAATCCTCTGGTCACGTTGGGCTGAGAAACAATAGAGGCAACCATTTAGAATTAACTCTTCAACGTCATCGAAATGTCTCGAAGCACTTTGCAGGATTTACTGAAACGTGTCGTGACTGTGTATTTTGGCATTGAACGCATGACCGCTTCGTGCACAGCAAAATCCCACACACAACCATTTCAAGTGATTGGCCCGTTTTATCTGGGGAATTGTTAGCCAGGACACCAGGAGAAATTCCCTTCTCTTTTCCCAATAGCACAGTAAGATCTTTAACATCCACTTGAACAGGCATGAGGGACCGTGGCTTTACTTCGAATCCGAAGCCCAGCACCTCTGATCATGCAGTACACCCCCAGCATTGCACTGTAGTGTCAACCGATACAAAGAACTTAAAGCACTAATGTGGGGCTTGAACCCACACATTTTGCCCCAGAGACAAGAGTTCTGCCAACTGATATATATATATATATATATATATATACAATTGCAAGCATAAACGCAGTGATACAAATACTAGTTACTGATAGGAAATGTGAATTAATGGACCAGCCATAATAACTTTGAATCATATAAAGAAGTCCATAAAATATACTGATCCTCTTCCAAATTCATCATTTCTCATTTGAATGTCTATATTGTTTCACCCACAAAATATACAGTCAATCCTCTTTATAATATAGTCTGTGAAGCGCTTTGAGACATCTTGAAGACACGATAAGGCGCTATATCAAATGCAAGGATTATTATTATCGTAAGAATAAAACAGTACTTACGATTGTTAAGGTTTCTTTCACCTCTTCAAGTAGGCGCTTTGAAATCTTCAGGCAGTCTCCGAAATCTAATTTTTGACATCCCTCAATCAAACTTCCAGCAGAGAAATGGCAGAGGTGAATACAAATCACTAAGAAAATGATGGTTTTCCACAGTCCAGGAACCAAGCCTAAAAACAAAGATTTTTTTTAATATACATATTGTTGGCACTCACCTACATTATGGGTCTGATGGCATGACTTGATTAAAACAATTTCCTTCAATAGTCCTGTACATTTCACCCACAAAAATACACAGTCAATTCACTGGACAGTATATTTTGCGAAGCGCTTCGAGACGTCTCGAAGACGTGATAAGGCGCTGTATCAAATGCAACTATTATTATTATTATTATTATTATTACTACATTGCTTTGAACCAGGCAAAAAAAAAAAATTAGCTGATAGTTTGCAAAGTTTAAGAATATAATATAATATAATACAAGTCAAACTCTTAAAAGAGTCAATCCAGGCAGTGGAAATATAGTAGAACTCACCAGTCACGGTGGACAAGGATGGCATTGTGTCAGTCTAAGCAGTCTGTAACAAGTGAAGCTCAACTTTATCTGGTTCCACTGCAGTATCTCTGTGGGTGTGTGTTCTGCCTACATTGGGTCTGTCCTCCCTTATATATGCTCTTTATTAATGTTTCGCACGGGATTCCCCCAGAGGTTATTTTCCCTGATAGTTGAGTAAATATCATGCACAGCAACCGAAGATAGAAAAGGTGTGGAGTGAAAAAAATCCTTGAGGTTATGAATGAGGGTTGGGAATATATTATAATTTATTGTTCGTTCAAGTCACCTCCGTCTATTTCACCTATTAGGGCGGCACTCGCTTTTTATTTTCCCTTTCCGTTTGTGTTTTCTTTTTGCTTTCTTATTGTTCCCGTCGTTTTATTTTCTTTCTAATTTTTTTCCTTTTCGACTTTCATCCTTCTTTTCACTCTACCTTTCCCTCCTTGAACATTCACCTCTCCTTGAATTTCATTTCCGTTCTGCTACCTTTAAGATATAAAAGGTTTATAATATATATATATTTAAATCTATTTTTTTGTAGAGGAAAGAGATAGAATACTTCAACGCTTATGATTAAACTGTGAATGTTACAGCATTGCTCAACAGTAGAAGTGACACTTGTTCATTAGAAAAGCTCCCCACACTTTTAAAGCTTCTTTTCGACTGCAGAAAATAAAAGTTTATGTGTTTTTAATAATAATTAATAATCTAAACAAATCTCCCCACAAGCACATTTCACAGCAAAATTAAAACTGCTGCTAAATGAGGAAATAGTGTCTAGATTTCAAAGAAATCTAAACAAAAATGGATTTTCGAAACCTACCTGGTTGATAAGAAAAGAAATATGTGTACAAGAAAACAGAAGTGGTTTTGTGGCTTTTTCAAAAATAACACCAAGGTTTTTTATTGCATCATATAAACCATTCTCCTCTAAACACTGACTTATAATAATAACGATCAATTCTTGCATTTGATAATCGCACCTTATCTTAAAGTGCTTCACGGGTTTATTTTTTTTCTGTAAGGTGTAGTGACTGTGTATTTGCATCTGTACGTAGATCAGCATATAAATCCCTCTGCATCTGGTTTCCAGTAGTTTCCTGGAGTCTCAGTGTTCTAACGGTGAAGGCTGGTCAGACTCCAGCAGTTACCCCAATGCACACTCTGGGGTCCCCAAGCCTTGGCGCTTGCCAACCTGCGCCTAATACTTTCCGGAATTAGGTGAGCAAATGCGTCCCTCTAGTGGGAGAGCGCGAGTTCCATTCCAACAATCTATCTCTGGGATTTCCACGTGGAGATGAGATGCATGGAATTCTCAGTTGGGTTTGGAGACTCTTGAGCAATGGTGATGGGTATTCAGACTAAAAAAAAATAAGTTTCCAACAGTTTCCTGGAGTCTCAGTGTTCTGATGATGAAGGCGGGGGAAGTTCATCCGTTATCGTTGAAGCTTTTGGTACCTTAGTTGGGTACCTTAGTTGGGTTACGTATAAAAGTATAAAATGGATTATTTTGTGGGGTCCTGTAGCTCAGTGGTGACGACAGTTGCCTCACAAGTGAGAGGACACAGTTTCGATTCCTGGGCGGGGCGAAATGTTAGGCAAGTTTCGTTACTCCACACGCCCCTGTTTACCGAGCAGTAAGTAGGAACTCGGTTGTTAGTCGATTAGCCGATCCATTTTCTGGGGGTAATAATCCCCTCAAAACAAAAATAATAATAATAATTTGGTCACTCAATCAACGAGTTTTTGTGGGGACACTGCTGTGCGCAATTGCCTGCCACGTTTCGCCCACAAATATACAGTCAGTTCACTTTACAGTATATTCTGTGAAGCGCTTTGAGACGTCTCGAAGTGTGATAATCAAATGCAAAGATTTTTATTTATTTATCAATGGAGCTTAGGTTGCCCTCTTTAGTCAGTTGTTGCATTTGCTGTTATGCAGCTTTTTTGTTCCATCATTGTTCATTGGAAACTAAATGTTTTGTCAGTGTTGGAATGACAACTAAGGGCATGTGGCACAGGGCACAATGCAATCGAGAGGACACTGTAGAATCCTGAACACTGACTGCAACCATATCAGTATCGTTTCATGTCAGACTGAGTTTCTCTCTCGATAGTCTTTTGTGAAACTGGAAACTGGAAACCATTCTCTCGAGTAGATACCATGTTGTGACCACAGTGTGTGAGTTGTCTATAGGAGGCGCCGATGATATGAAAAGAAATCTGGAAATTTCAATTTACAAATGTCATGCATTTGGTCAAATCGGGCAGAAATTTAATTTCTACTGAACATTAAATTCCCCCGAATATGACTCAGCCAACAAAACAAGCGAGAGGTTGCGCTGCTCTTTCAAACCGTCTGTAATGGATGATATTGCACAGTGAAATCTTTCAGAACGCTCAGAATAAAGTAACCAGAAGTTGACCAACTAACTTGTGAAAGTTGCTTTTGCACAAACAATATACGTGTGTTACTGCATTTAGAGAAAAGGGAAAGTCAGAGCTGTCGCTTTTTGGTTGAGATGTTAAACCAAGGTCCCATCTGCCTGTTCAGGTGGACGCCAAAGATCCCATGGCACTGATGGGATGGGGAAAAAAGAAGGGAGTTTCTCTCGGTGTCCTGCCAACAATTCACGGATACAATTGGCAATTCATTTCATAACTGTTTGGGGGAGCTTGCTGTGTGCAAATTGGCTGCCAAATGTCCCTACAGAGAGAGATTTGATGACATGATAAGTCTCTGCTTTATATGCAAGAATTATTAGTAGCACTATATGTTTTACGAAAATCATAATTGCTATTGGGATTGACCTAATCAAAGCCATCAACACAAGAGCAAAATAAAATGGACCTTTGAGTTTATTAGTTGCTAATAGAGATTTAAGAAAGAAACTAGAAATTATTTTAAGAAAGGTGAAATGAATTCTGTATTGTGCTGTCACTAAACTCAGTTTCCACTGAATCCTGAATGAGATGTTCAGTTTATATGTCATTTTATCTTTTATATAGTTACATGCAACAGGATTTGGTGCGGCGGGAAGATAATTAGTGGTTCCAGTCAGTTAAATGAAGGTAAATTACTTGTGAGGACAGCTGATGTCCAACCATTTTTAACAGTCCAAAATAAAGCTGGTTCATTGACAAATGGCAACACACAGTGAAGCATCAAACAATTGCTTCTCTCCACACTCAGTTTAGACATGAAATTCGGCTTGTATTATGAAGGCATGAAGTACCACTCGCAACTCTAGCCTCCTGCATACGTGCGACATCAACCTTTAACATGATTATTTAACGTTCCGTCCACAAAATATTTGCCCACAATTCACTTTACAATATTTTCTGTGAAGCGCTTTGAGACGTTTCGAAGACGTGATGAGGTGCTGTATCAAACGCAAGGATTATGTGATATTATATGGTAAAAATCTGAGGGTCTGATCATGGATAAGTTAAGATGACAGACCTCTCAGTTAATTGATGATTTCTAAGCATTCACTTAGAAAAAAAAACTTTGTTTTATTTTTCAATTAGTGCTGAAATACAAGTGCAGTGACCAGTGAGTTAAGGCATTCATTATTTCAAAATACCGGTTGTTTGGGAAATTCAGAGAGAAATGAAAAAAGTAACCAATGTAATACTTGTGTTCTGCTTATGTGTTACAGATGTTACTGGAAAATAACTTGAGTGTTTTTGCCCGTAGCTACTCCACTCCCTGAATTATGTAATGATAAATAAATAGGGAGCTTCGCTAACACTTTGTTTCCCTTGATGTTGCACTCGGAACATTTAAGCTGAAACTGGGTTGATGGACATAAAATCTTGAGCATCAAATGGATTAAAATAAACCCCAGAAGCAAAATTCTGGAATATGAGCACAGTTACTGAATTATTGACAAGAAATTGCATGCAAATAAAATCCCATCAGTAATAGTTTTGGTGCAGCGAAGGATACATATGTGAATACATTGCATGAAATCCATTGGATCCAAATTGTAGATGTAGATTTCTATCACACTGGGTATTACAAAGGTAATTTCTATGGATGTGCACCAACAGATCAGTTTTAGGTGCTATGGGTCATATGATTCCTGTGTCATAGAGGTGTTCCGAGTCCCCCTTGCAGTTGTTTGTGCTTTTTTTTAAACCAAATTGTCCAGTTTGATTAACTCTCTCCACAGCACGATGCATAGGAACAGGAGGAGGCCATTCAGCCCCTCGAGCCTGTTCCACCATTCTATAAGATCATGGCTGATCTGTACCCCAACTCCAATTACCCGTCCTTGCCCCATATCCCTTGATATCCTGATGCTTGCTATATCTATGCATTAGTTGTACCAATAGATTCCCCTTACCCTTCTCTCACTTCCATCCTTTTTATTTTCATGTTTGATCTTTTCTTTTTCCTTGCTACTTTCTTCAGGTCCTTCATTGCATTTTTATTTCACGGGTACAATTTTTTCATATACCGTTTAATTTTTGTCTCTCAGCTCAGGATTTATTTGAAAACCGTTCTTTGTTTCCTTTAATCAATAATAATCCTTGCATTTGATATTGCGCCTGATCATGTGGTTGAGACACCTCAAAGCGCTTCACAGGATATATTATAAAGTGAATAGACTGTGTATTTTTAGGGTGAAACCCGACAGCCAATTGCGCACAGCAGTGTCCCACAAACAGTCGTGAATTGAGTGCCTAAGTTTTATTTTGAGGAATTATTTCTCCCGCAGAAACCAATCTGTCAATTGACTAACAACAGAGTTCATACTTAACTTTGGGTAAACAGGGGCGTATAGAATAAGGAAACTTGCCTAACGTTTTTGCCATGGCCGAGAATCGAACTCGGGTTCTCTCGTTTGCGAGGCGAGCGCAATAACCACTACGTTATGGGACTTCACACCCATATTTCCAACACTTAGTCATCAGCTGCCCCAGGATATTCCATTCCGTTGGTGCGAGTTTCTGACGTGGGTGAAATTAATGGAAGCTTCTGGAATTAAATGTGAGGACGGACAAAAAGAATGTCAAATTTCTTCCCGGTCATTTTCTTCAGAAGAATCAGGGATGTTTTCTGATCACTGATACATTTTTCTGAATAGTATGGCCTGTATCGTCCAGTGAGTAAACAATTAGCTGTAAATCCAAACGACCCGAGATTTTTATGCTGACCCGAGCTCAGAAAGTGTTGAGACTTACTGGAATCACGCTTAAAATTTTGAATAAGAGAAACGTAAAGGAACTTCCACACGAAATGTAGAACCATCATAGGGCTCAGCAGGAAAAAGCTAATGAAACTAGTGTGAACGAGCGAAAAAACCTAAAAAATGAAATTCCCCTTAACAGGATTCTTAGTATCAATATTTACTGAATCGAATGTTTAAGAATCAGAAACGCTTGAAACAAGAACCAAGTTCCTGTGCTCACAGCATTAGTGAAGAATAGAGTACTTAGTTGGCAACCACCTATGATGATTTCATCAAACATATATTACAACCCTACAGCGAAGAATAGAATATATAGATCTTATATTCCAATAAATAGCTGGAATGTATTTTTTGATAAACTTCACAATCCTCAATCATTCAGTGATTTGACACCAATGTCAATAAGATGCATTGCATTGGCATCAGTTTTGCAAAGCTAATGGTTTTGCAAAGCTAATGTGTTGAAATTAATTATTCGAATTAAAATGAACTTAACGCGCCACTGCGAGCACGTTTCACCCCAAAATGTCTCATCTGACAATTGTTTCATTGTGGGAACTTACTGCATTTTTAAGAAACATTTCCTGTTTTTATTTGGGGATTAAATTCTCTCTTTATATTTATGTTCTTCACAAGCTAAACAACATTCCTTAATTAAGAGGTTAAAATAAACAAAAAAAAGTTAACAATTAAATCAAAAGTCAAGCTAATGAGTGTCGAGGGATAAAACAGATTAATTTTCCATTATTAATTTAGTATCTTTTGTGACTTTTTTTAGACATACTTAACTTTTCTATTTCAATCTCTCACCCCTTACGTATACGTATTGTTTTATTTCAGAGTTCGCTTTCAGTTCTCTTACACATTCATTCTTCTGACATCATTCCGAACTCTGCCACATTCCTTCAATACACTTTCCGTTTTGCTGTACTTAGCGATGAAGGAGTACAGGCTTCTGAGATTCCCTGACACACTTATAACATGCAATTGATGTTCATATTGACAGTGAGTTCTTTGATGTATCAGTATTTATTAACTGTTCGGCACCTGTTCTTGGGATTCTACTGTTTCCTCGAGATGTATAATAATAATTCTTGCATTTGATATGGTGCCTTATCATGTTTTTGAGACTTGTGCTGCTTGCTCAACACTGCACAGTGATGTGGAGTGCTGTAGTGTTTTGGTGAGAGGATCTTTAAGCGCTCTGAGCCTCTCTACCCTGTGGAGGGTGCTATGTAAGTGCAAGTTGTTGTTGTTGACCCATGTTCGATTCCCAGCCAGGGCAAAACCTTAGGCAAGTTTCCTTACTCCACTCACCTCTGTTTACCCAGCAGTAAGCAGGAACCCAGTTGTTAGTGATTGGGGATCGCTTTTCCAGGGGTAACAATTGCTTCAAAATAAATAATTTGGTCACTCAATCCACGACTGCTTGTGGGAGGGACACTGCTGTGCGCAATTGGCTGCCAAAATATACAGTCAAGTATATGCTGTGAAGCTCTTTGATAAGCTGAAGACTTGATAAGGTGCTGTATCAAACACAAGGATTATTATTATAATTTGCTTCAATCCAATACGGTAAAACTCAAAAATGTCATATCAGTTGGGACCATGAAAAATGTGGAACTTAATGAGTCTTAGTCTGACAGTGTCGAATATTTATATACAACAATTAAAGATTTCTCCGTTTCCTGGAAACAGTGCAGATGCAACTGATGATTTGAGAGCAGAAACTGGAGTTTGATCACATTATATGCAGAATATAAAAAAAGGGCAAGTTCACTGGTTGTGACAAGTGCATAAGTCAATCTGCATTTGCAAACCTGATTTTCTACAAACTTATACAGTAAATGAGAAATATATATATGTAGTGTACTTTACTTATATATTGAAACTAGAGTAAGATACAGAAAATGTTAATTCAGTCTCTGCAAGTTTACAGTATGTAGTGTCTTCTTCTGCTTTAGATAGTTTTACTTCCTATTTCGCTTTTACTCGTGTATCTGTGCTCTCTACAACTTTAAAAAGAAACTTCACAGTTTGTTCCAAAGCACGTCACTTGAATTGGCAGTCATGTGTAGAGAGTTTATTAACTGGCTGTAAAATCGTGACAGTTCAACCAGGAATTGTTAACCGCAGATGCTGAACTTCGAATAAGTAGTTTCACCTCATAGCCATGTTAAGAACTAAGAAAAATGGTTATGATGTAAAATGCAGCCAGATCACACTGACAAGAGTCCTGGACACTACCCTCGCGTGAAGGGAGCTATATAAATGCAAGTTGTTGTTGATACTAATTGTTAAAAGAGAGCAGACCATCCAGCTATGCTTCTACCATCAAAAACGTGTTTTTTTTTTGCTTGTACCATATACTCATCAACCACCATCTCACTAAATGTGTTGTGTAAAAAATAGGCTCATGAGCAATGAGAGCCAACCATCTATTGTTCCCCCTTTTATCGCTCCCCCTTGTGTCACGTCCAGCTGAGAAACTGGGGAAATCTCAAATCCTCGGGACAGCAATTTAACACGTTATCTCATATTAATCATATACTCCTTTATCCCTCTTCAGCCTTGCTTGTTAAGGGTGGTAATCTCAAGCTATGTCTTCGAGTGCTACTCTCAGGAACGTGGGTCTGTAGCTGTGAGTGCTCATGTAATGAGCTCCCAACTTTAATCATTCCATTGTGGCAGATAACGAGTGGAAACCGGACAGATATTCCGCAAGCAGAGGGTGGGGGGAGAAGTAGAGAACAGATTTCTAGTAATACAGTCTCCTTTGTTTTTTCTAGACTTTAAAGCCTTTATTTCACCCCCCACTCCCCCGCCCTCCGCCCCCATACACACGCCAACACCTTTCTCAGTTTCGCTCACCATTGGCTCCTCAGTCAGTTCTAAAATGTTTTGAGATGTCCTCCCGACGTGAAAAGCGCTCTATCGATATTTTGTTGAACCCCGAGAATAAAAACATAATGGTGACTGGTACCTGTGTTATACGGTTTTTAATGTGTGATCCCTTATTTTTAACTAGATGTAGCTTTTCTTTCAGCCTGAGTGCATAGTTCAACGGCTTCTCAAGAAATCATATGAATGGAAAACTCAAAGTGACTTCTTAAATGTTGCCAGTCACTTGCAATTGATTGTTATACAACAAAAACAGTTTATGTAAAATGTTCAATATTCATTCATCCCAATGTGATATTTAAGATTTGCACAGCTATTAGATATTAAGAGGTTGTCGCTAATTCAATGCACCCACATGGATCGAAATTAATATAGGTATAATCATAGGAAACAAATTTAATTATTTTATTTTACATATTTGTACATAAAATTTCCAGATAACATTTCTGAATCCAATTGAACGAAATTATATTAACACACTTTAAAATGGTTGCGTCAGATAATCAACATTTACAAAATGTTGAAAACCGATTCAAGTGACCTAATTACCAATAGCTACAACTTCACTACAAGGCAGGCATATACTCTTTGACTTTAATAGCACCTTTAAATAAAGTTTATTGGTTTAAAACTACCGTCTGTGGTGAATTAAAAAAAAAAGGAGGCCCATGATAAAATACTGTAAAACTAAAATCCAAAGTTAGAAGTTAGCTCAACTACTTTGTGTACCTCCAATCCTGCAACGTTTCAGTATTACTAGAATTGCATATCAGTTACCAACATTTTACTGAAATGCCCGATACAATTCAGTGACAAATGTAATCCGATTAAAAAAAAAATCAAAGAAGCGTAGGGCCAATCACTGGACATAAAGCTTCAAACAGCACCAATGACTAACACTGATTTTCTTGAACTGCACCATCTTGAGTATCAGCATTTTACAACCACAGAAGCAAAGTAAAATCTAGCTTTTCCCCCCTCTTCAGTCTCATTGCTTGTTGGATGCTCATCCCGGTCTCACTTGGCTGCTGTTTTCTCTGCCATGTGTCTCTGCTGACTTTCGGCATGCCTAGAGAGAAGGACAAAATGGGTCAACAGGCCTTTCGAGATCTGACATGTATCCCTATTCTAGCTTTCCCAGAAATCACTCAAAATGATGACCTGGAGGGTTTTCCAACACACACAAGGCTTCAGATGTAAAAGTGCCCCCTAGTTTTTGTTTCGGTATAACCAAGCTCCCCTTGTAAAGAAGTCCCCAACTGGGCTCTTCTTATATGACTGAACTATATGGAGTTAGCCAGGTTATGTTACTCTTTTGAACAAATTTAAATGTTTCGGGGGAAATACAGATGAATACTGCGGGGGCGAAAAAAAACAAGACACAAAGAGCTGTTCGATGGTCCATTGGGAAAGTACAGACTTAAGACAACAGAAACTAATGCACTAATGAGAAATGGACGTTGATGTTCAATAGAATCCTTGTACCAACCTGGTAAGATCTTCTATGTCTACCAGCATGGCATCCTGCTCCATGTGTAGTTCATCTCTAATGAGTAGAAGTTGGACCAACTCTTCATTTAAACCTGTTAGAAGAGATAAAGAGAATGGTGTCAGCGATCTGTTAAGCTGTGTGGCGCACACAAAGGGTTTAACAATTAAATCAATCTGTTCATATGTGACATGTCCAGATAGAGTGCCAGGAGCATATGTTCGTATGTAATGCAGTAGTGAGATGTCCTCCCATCATGAAAAGCGCTATACAAATGTAATTTTGTGTTGTATTCTAGTGCACCAACGCATGGGACGACTGACCTAAGTAATGCAGAGGATCTGAACTGATTTTCTATCCTTCACTTTCTGATTTCCCTTTTGGGGTATTGTAACATTGCACCTTTTAAACTGCACTTTGAAGAAAAAAATGATTATTTTTTTTTACCGAGAGACAGTTACCCATCTCAGGGGAAAGAAAATCTGTCAATATAAAAAATTGTGTGATCTGATAATCAGCCAAAGTAAATTGCATTCAGACACCTCTGTTTGTTGTCAGGTATGAAATGTGAAAGGATTGAAACACTTGATAGATTAGTCAGTTCTGTAAACACTGCTAAATAAAGATGAAATCTCTGACCTCTATTATTACTGCTGTCGCAATGCATTTAGTGCATGTTGTCAGTCTGCCAACTGAACCATATTTGTGTTTGTTACCTCTATCAAACTGTCAAGCTTTTGTTGAAGCGTAGGATAGAAACTGGGCTATTTTGCTTTTCCACTTCATACATCTTCCATCCTTGAACAGGTGGAAGTGTCAAACCCTGGTACATTCAATAAATGGCGTGTTCTGAACCTCAGCAACAATTCTTTTGTGACCATCTTCTTCACTGCATTGACACCTGTGCCACTTAGCGCAGAGCTTACTGCAAGACACGGAGTAATTTATTCAACGCCAGCATTTTAAGAAGTCACCCACGTGGAAGGTGACGTAATCGGGACTTCATTTACAGGTTTTGCAAAGTCATAGCCAGAACAGCTTTGAGGCATATCAAATGTCATTATGAACAGGTTAGACCAGCCCTCAGTCAGTCCCATATATACTGCAGTTCAGTCTTCTTACTTGCTTACAGTGAGGCTTCAATTACACCTCCAGAAGTATTGTGTCAGCCTGGCACAGTGATAGCACTCTCGCCTCTGAGTCACAAGGTTGTGGATCCAAGCCCCACTTCGGGACTTGAAATCATGTAGTCTAAGTTGACACACCAAGGCAGCGCTGGGGGTATGTTGCATCGTCGGAGGTGCCGTCTTTCGGATGAGATATTGAAACCGAGATCCCACAGCACTGTTCAAAAAGTGAAGGGAGTTTCTCACAGTGTCCTGGACAACAATCCCCCAAATAAAACTGGTCACTCACTCCATGGCTGTGTTGTGACATTGCTGTGTGCAATTGGCTGCCGTGTTTCGCTCACAAAATATACAGTCAATCAATCCACTTTCCGGTATATTCTGTGAAATGCTTTGAGACGTCTCGTTGATGTGATGAGGCACGATTTCAAATGTAAGGATTATTATGTAAATTTTATTAGAACGTACACACATACAAACATATTGGTTCCATTATTGTCATGTATTTTTAGCTGCTGCTACCATTTCACTCTATAACATCACTGCTTCACACAAACCACTCAGTTTAAATGCAGAAACTGATACTGTAAACAAAGACAAGATTTTCACTTTCATTATTCACTCAAGGTTTCCAATCTTATGCTGTTTCAACCTATTATAAACAAATGGGTAATAACAATAATCCTTCAGTTGAATACAGGGCCTTATCATGTTGAAATGCCTTAAAAGTGCTTCACAGATTTGTGGAAAATCAATTTATTTTAAAATGATGGATTGCAGTCGGAGCTCAAGAACAACAATTGCATTCTGTGGCCACGTGATCATCATTGGGGTTGGAGATTATTGTCACAAGAGACAGGAGAAGCAGGTTTTCTGTCGACCGGAAATAAAACGGCAGCAGAGGGCAGACAGAAGCTACCCAACCTGGACCCTGATCTGAAAGGCGGGCAAATCGGGAAGCGAGAGGAAACTGCTGTTGGTAGGACATACTCTTCCGGGGAAGTTCATGTCTTCTTTATGATTGAGGGAACAGAAGGCGGGAGTGGAATGCTCTGTAATATCTCTAACTTCAAGAATAACCTCGGCCACAAAATACACAGTCGATTAATTTTGCAGTGTTTCAATTTGATAAGGCGTTGTATCAAATGCAAGTATTATTATTATTATAAGTTAAGTGATCTATAAATTTCATGTTAAAATCATATTGTTTGGTACTGATACCCAGTTTATATAGGAAATTTGATTTGGTTCAGGTTATAATATTTTCATGGACCTGTTTTTGATCAATGTGTTTCCACAGCTGGCTCAATGCAGACCTCAGGAAGCCAGCAATTTTTTATTCTTAAGTAATGTTAAGGTAAATACGTTAGCACTGCTAACATGGTACATTTTAATTTGGAACAGCTGTGAATCTGAAAGAAATCTGAAAATCTACAGCTGTCGTGTAAATTGAGCTCTACCTCACATTAAACGAAAAGAATCATCTCTGTCCTGATGTTCAACTTCCAAACGCAGCGCCAATTAAATTTGATTTAGTTCTTTCGGAAAACAGCCTGTCAGGATTGTTCCTCTACATGCCGTTAGTTCTACAGTAAATATATTTGCTTTGCCACCACGAGTGAATTGTCAGTCAATACAATGAACAGGATTATGCAGCACAGCTAACCCTCACACTGACTCCATCCAACCAACCTGGCTTTCCATTCTCTGTCAGAGAGCTTTAGGAATCAATCTGGATCATGATCAATTGTCTGGTCCCTTTAGCAACAACTGAATTAAGTCACAAAGCGCATAATTGGATCACTGTATTTAATATATTAATTTATTATTTTATACTCATGTTTCAAGAAATGCGGTTTGAAAGATCGCTGCTAATCTGCGTTGACGGGATTGAATGGCTCTAAAAATACAGCCCCCGTTATGGAATAGAACAACATCCCACTCACTTTGTGCATCTGGATCGTGTAACGAAACACACAAGTGAGGCACTTTATCCAGTACCAATGAAAATGGCACTACAGTGAGTGTGAATTCACATCTTGCAGAGCAGCATTGAAATTATAGACACCACAAAGATAATGAGGCCCATCAATCTCTGCTCCATTGAACATTAGTATTGGGAAAATTGCCAATTTCTCAGGACTTTCATTATATGGGAATTATCACGCTCATGGCTACTAGTGATATACTACACCTACTTTATTGCTCAATGTGTGGGCCTTTGCACTTGTGACTTCATCACTTGCATGTTTTGTGGCTAATTTTGTGCTGGTTATATAGTGCCACACTAATAGCCCTAGAGTAGGCCTCTATGTATTGAATCATAAGCAAGTCACAGCATGGGCCTGAGGGATAAACGACTGATGTAAAATTGCTGCCTTGCAAGTGATTTAAGCATCTGTTACACCATTACTCCATAGCAATCAGGTCATGTAGAACTATGGTCATTATGTGATCCGATTGCATTAAAAGAATCAAAGTGCTATAGGTTAGATTTGCCAGAAACACGGACGAGATGGGCGGGAGGGAGGGAGATGAGAAGTGGATAAATCAGTATGAATGTTCCACTCCAAAGCAGGACACAAATCATATGCAGGATTGACTGCGGGTTAGGTTTCCAATCTTGGGTGGGCTGCTTTTTGAAAGCTTTTGAGTTTAATTGACCCACTTTCTCCACTGGGAAAAGAAAACCCAACAGATGATTTAAGACTGGAGGACTCTGAGCCAGGTTAAATCAGGAACCTTTTAAAAATATATCTTCAGGTGTTGCTGGAAAAAACCCTGTGGTGGTAACAGCTAAAAGAATCGCATTTAATGCTCTCAGAATGTTTCCGTGGGTGAGACCAATATCACATCTCTCAGGATTTGTTCAACTCATTTTCTTGCTTTTTGTTCAACTCGAGCCACTGAAGCCTTTTGAAAGAAATATTAACAGAGTGGCCATGTCTCTTTTCGTTCTTATTAATAAAAACAGAACCAATGTGTAGTTCCAACTATACCGTGCAAACACAGCCCATCCTGGCAGCCAATCATTCCTCCCCCAACTCCCAAACACGGTACTCTTAAATTAGATTTCCCATGTGACATTAATCAGCAGGCAGATGAAAGTGATTCGCTGCGCACTTGCTCCTGGAACACTTTCCATCCTTACCAGACAACAATGTAAAACCCTGGACGCCATTGCCAAGCATTGAAAATTAAAACCCAACTATTATCATTATCTGCCCAACACAATCCATCACTCCCAAAATCCTCGTCGCCATGGTGTTGAATTTACCCAGCCAGACACAACTCATCACAGTCCTGGCCGCAGAGAGCAAGCTCGTGGTATAATCAGTGGCATCTCCCAAGATTGGTTTTGATTTCATGCTTCCAGAATACCTATCCTACCGTCCTCCCATCATAGCATCAAGTGTCCTGGCCCCATTATATTTCTCTTGATTGTTCCTTGTTTTAAGTTCTATCCAAGGCATGTGCTAACCCCATGATATAAACGTGACCTCCTGTGTCTGCTCTTGGGCTGTCTACAAGCCACACATGAGCGGAACGCACCAGGGCAGCTCATTTACACACTTTCTTTCCATCCCACAAAATATGCAGTCAATTCACTTTACAGTATATGCCGTGAAGTGCTTTGAGACGTCTCGATGATGTGATGAGGCGCTACGTCAAATGCAAGGATTAATATTATTATCCCGTTCTTGTAAAGTAAACTTCTCCCTTCATTGGCACAGGGGAAGGTAAGGATTTATGTGTGGGGAAGCACAGAGCTCAAACCAGTGGCTTGCTGTATTGTGATAGAGTGAAATAGCAGTGTGGCAACTCCACCTTCAGTTTTTGTAAAAGTCAGCTACAATTCATTACGCTAAGATGAATGGAAACAGAAACAGGAAGACGTGGTAAATATTTAGAAAATTTAAGAGGATCTGTGAGTTGGTACAAACTTGGCAATTTCTTTCACAATATATGATTTTTGCATTATTTGCCAAATAAGGACTGATTGGTATTACAAATGCTTTGTTTTCGGTGTGAATCATAGATAATCCTTTGCTCGATACCATTTCCCTAAAAATATTAACTTGAATTTCTCTGGGCAAAACTCATTCAGTTTTTAAATCCAATGGATGAATTTGGCCCTTTTATCTGCCAGAAACCCATATGAGTAGTTCCCATTTGCCCAAATCCTAATGAAGCCCTGAATGATAACTCTGGTAATCACAAAGGTCAAGGAATTGGAAAGTGCATATCGGAGATTCTGACGTCATAAAAGCAATCTGTCGAAACGCAGTCACTTCCTTTGAGTTGGCTAAAGTGAATTTAGGATCTTATAGTACAGAAGGTCACTCACCCTTTGTGCTTATGTAATTTCTATGAAAGCTATCATTCCCTTGTCTCTTCCTTGTAACCTTTTATAGTTGTCATTTTCAAAGATTTGTACAGTCATTTCCTTTTAAAAGCGACTATGGATTCTCCTTCAACCACCATTTTCTTTTAAAAACCATCTGTTTAAAACAATTTTCCCCAAATCTCCCTTTATCTTCTTGTCATGCTCTTCGATTCATTGCCTCCAATTATGGACTCAACGATCAGTGGCGACAGTTTCTTTCCCAATTCACCTTGTCAAACACCCTCATCATTTCAACATATAATCTCCCTTCAGACTTCCCTTATCTAGTGAAAACAATTCCAGTTTTCCTAGTCTTTCCTCATAACTAAAACTTCTAAACTTCCCTGATATCATCCGAAATAATCGCTTCTGTAACTTTTCTATGATCTTGATACCTTCCCTAAAATGGGATGCCCCAAACTAGTCACAATGTCTTTATTGTCTACCGACAGAAATCCCTTTGAAGTTAAGAAATCCAGATTTCTAGTAAATTTGGGCCCTTAAATATTGAAAATCTGTGCCTGTCCACAGGAAAGGGAATCTTTGATCGGGAGGGAGGGGTGGGGCCAGAAGGCACATGAAAATAAATGAGAACTGCTTTGTAATACCATTATTTACATTTACTGAACAGAATTCACAGACGATTCCCACCACCGAATTTCCAAACGGGTTTAAATGTTCTCATAGTGCCCCCTGCTGGCCAAAGCCAATAGTGTCCATGGCAACAGAGTAACCTTTTTAGAAGTGTCCCATTAATAATAATAATAATCCTTGCATTCGATATAGCGCTTTTCACGTCGGGAGGACGTCCCAAAGCGCTTCACAGAACACACTGTAAAGTGAATTGACTGTATATTTGTGGGCGAACGCGGCAGCCAATTGCGCACAGCAATGTCCCACAGACAGTCGTAGATTGAAAATGACCAATTTTATTATTGTTTTTGGTTTTTGGAGGGATTATTATTATTATATCTACCAAGATCTGTTGAATCGTTTACTGAATAATTTGATAAACCTGCCCAGTAGGTCAATTTTAACCTCTAATTGGGCATGTTACTCATACACTCTGCAAAACGGAATACCCCCAAAGTAAAATTAACCCTGTCCGTTCTCTTCCAACAACATAATGCAGTATCTCTCGGACTTTAGCACACTGAAATCTTCTCATCTTACAACTGGCGATACTCAGAACTACAGTTTGTGCTCAGCGGGGCAGCAAAGATCTACTGATGCTGATCACTTGGGCTGATTAACAAGAGCGGATATGTAGATTTTGTAGCATCTCCAAAAGATACGAGATTTACATTCGGTAAAGGCCCGTAAAGCACCTTGGGACGAACTCCACACGTGAAAGGTGCTTATACAAATGCAATTTGTTGTTGTTGTGGTTGTTGTATCTGAGACAAGGGTGAGCCCGAGGCAGGTTAACCCAACAAGCCACTCATAAGCAGCTAAAAACAACTTCAAGATTACCCATCATTTATTCTTGTGACCAAACGTTAAACCAAAATTATATATGTGGCTATCTGTCGCTGTGAGAGCGCTGCATTCCTGTGTCAAAGGGCTCCCCACACACACAGAGCTGATGGTTGATTGCTAAAATAAGTTGTGGCTTTGTGAGACGCAATCACAAATTCCAAGGCTGCTTTCATGATAGAACATCAAGCAAATATTTGTTTCCCCGCACTGCTTCATAATAGCTTCAGTTCAAGGGGAACAGCGTTCATATTCCAAAATAGCCTTTCAATTTATGCTACATTTATCCTCACTGCGACATTCGTTGGTTTCAGTCAACAGATGAAAGGCACCGAAATGGGGTTCATGTAATTTACTGTTGCAAGCAAGGAATGAGGTACATTTACCCCAGCACACGATTGCAAAACAGAACAGGAGGATTGGTTTTTGGTTGGGGCTGATATGATTTTACTGGGAAGGGCTGTCCACCAAGTTTCCACCCAGAAGTAAGCAGCCCTGAAGGTTGTACACTTATGGAAAACATCTACTTATGCACAAGAACAGCAACAGGATGGAAGTGCACTTCACATGTTCCAATCCATTACACTCCTAGCAGGAATCTAAACTGCAACATCACAAGGCCATTCATTATACACAGAGATTAGTTTTTTGAAATCTTGAGTTCCCTGCAACTAAATTCTTGCTTCTCAGCCAGCCGTTATATAATGGTTACACATATTTCATTAAAATTTCCCAAAGTAGCTTTTTTCCCCCGCCTCCTGAATCGTGAGAGATAACACCAAAGCAAATAGATCTGGCCACCAAGACACTTGATGGTTATGGTTAGAAAGCTGAACCTTGTAAAACATTACATATGATAATGTTTTTGTAATGGTTGGTGTTGTGTTTACACGGCTGCGAGAGAAGTCATAACGCTCTCTGCGGTATAACAATGGAGTACGGAAAGTCTAATTTACATTCCCTGCTCCACATGGCATTTTATTGAGGCTGTTAAAATCCAGGCCCCTAAATAAATAAACAAACAAATAAATAACATAACGAACTGGTGTATTTTCACCTTTTTAGTGACATCAATAAAACAATCTGTTAGAGGTGTTTGGGTGATTTAATGAACTGTCCAAGAGGCTTGTTCTTAGGGCGGAGTGGGGGAGGAAAGGGAGCTGGAGAATTGAAGTGCTCCTAAAATCATCTCTTTCAAAAAATTGGTCAATTTGCCGCTATCTACATGGTGTAAACACAGCACTGATGTGTGTGCACTGTGGTTCATTTATTGCAGCCTCTTATCTGGGAACCGCTCAACAAAGCTTCACAGTGAACTGTATTGCACATAAAGAGTCTCATTGATCATCTATACTAGTGTAGTCTACGGAAAGGATAAGGCTTTACGGCCCAATGTCTATGTTTGTATTACATATTTTCCAAACTAAAAAAAATCCTATTTCTTTTCAGTAACTGATGCATCGGCATAAAACACATTGAAATGAACAGCTGGATCCGTTCAGCTCCAGCTGAGGCAGATATGCACCATGTAGGCACAATTAGTCTTACATTCTTCACCTAATGCTATATTTTTACGGCCCCTGCTGTTCAAAGAGGAAAAAAAAACAAAGTCGTAAAAATAACGATTTGTAACCACTTATTACACCAAGGTTCAACTATAATTACCCATAAATCCAAATGATTTTAACACATGTCGGCGTTTGTGGCAAGTCCTCTCTTTCAAAGATTTGACAACTCTTACTATCCAGATTGACCACAGTGTTTCTGGCTGAATTTTGCCTTTGTTGAAATTTGTGCTCCTCAATTGGAAGAATAGTGGACGGCATAAAGGAGATCCTCATGTCATGGAAAGGCTTACCGATATCAACATCAAAGAGGTCTAGGTCTTTGTCACATCCACGTAGCTCAAGACCAACCTCAACCAAACATCCCCTACAGCACTTCTATGAGGTTTCCACATCCAACGCCAGCCAGACTGAGACTCAAGTAAGTTTGATGTGCAATTACTGCCAAACTAAGGTTGCTTTCTGCTATATTGTTCCCTAGGAACTGGGTTGACCCCACCTACAGCCAACGGATAAAGAATACCTCTATCAATATGTTTGGATATGACCCCAGGTGCATACAAGTGAATATTTATGACCCACCCTGAAGTATTCCATGACTACTGAATGCCTCAAGTCACACGTAGGAACATTTATTGCCATTGGAATTTTTTTTTATTATTTTCAAAGAGAGACGTTTGGAATCCACCCTGGATATTGCGTGTAATTACGTTTGTGGTTACAGGAACCAAAGGAAGAACAGAATCTAAGATAAAATACTTACTCTCAATCTGGGAGTGTAAATCATTGACTATGACTTGCAGCTGCCCGATAGTCATATCTCGCAGGTCAGTGGGTTTCAGACTCCGCTTCATTAAGTTCTCACTGATGTGAGGCATGTGAGGCAACTGCAAGAGAACACAATATACTTAGCATGAACATGTCTGAAATGGCTCAAACAGATTTTTTTTACACCCATTAGATTAACGTAGTACTGGGACATAGCTTCCAAATGTCAATCTTGTCCGCTATTGAATCTGTAACTATATTCAAGATGCAAGTTGGCACTTTCCCTTATATGTCTGTACTGGAATGAATAATACCAGCTTTTGCTTGCTCCCATAGGTGGAAAGTACCCGTGTGGTTATCAAGTGAAAGCAGGATCAGATTTAAGTGTTATAACCATCTCTCAAGACTGGATTGTCTGTCAACACTCACCATCTAGACTCATAGATAAACAATAACCTTTGCATTTTATACAACACCTATCACGTTGGGAGGATGTCTCAACAAAACTAAAGGTGAGGTAACAGATGGCGGGGCTGCATCCTGAAGAGTTAGACCTCAATAAGAGTTAATACCTTCTGACTAAGAGGTGATTATTGGAGGCAACCAAATAACAGGTAACAACAATATCAGATTGCTGGGTGAAGCACCAACAAATATACAGTTTCATTGCTCTCCACTAATTTAGAATTCACATGCTTAAGAGTATGACATCTTGAAATATATAAGAATTCAATAAATTATTCTGAGCAAGCACTATCCACAGACCTAGGTTTGCATTTGCAAAAAGGTCATGTTTGACAGATGCACACGTGAATGCCATTATCTCCGACAGTTGGTCACCGCTGGATATTCAAGGATTCCATAGAATCATTCCAAGGAATGAATTGTAGATTTTTTCCCCTTTAAATAAATATTCTTCCATATATAAAAGAAAGTTCTTAAGTGGAGTGAATGAAATATACCACCATGAGACCTTCAGCCTCTCTGCCCCCATCCTTTGGAACTCTATCCCAGAACCCCTCCATCTCCCCCTTCCCTTGCCTCCTTCAAGGTCGGTCTCAAGACATTTCTCTTCGACCGTGCCTTTGGTCATCTTCCCACTCCCCCTTTGCCCTCCACCCTTTGATTCCAACCCCCCCAGCTTGGATGAAAACCCTTCACTGTCCAGCGCCTTGGGACGTCCTTCTGACGTGAAAGGTGCTATATAAGTAATAATAATCCTTGCATTTAATATAGCGCCTTATCACATCTTCGAGACGTTTCAAAGCGCTTCTCAGAATATACTGTAAAGTGAATTGACTGCATATTTGTGGGCGAAATGCGGCAGCCAATTGCGCACAGCAGTGTCCCACAACAGTCGTGGATTGAGAGACCTAATTATTATTATTAGTTGTTGTTGTTGTATGCTAGTGTAGTTTGGGCTTCATCATTAGTCAATAACAAAGCAATTGAAGCAATTCTAGTTTACTGGAACTGACATTAGGTTCTTGTGGGGTTAAAAGTGTTTGCCAAATTTTACAGAAACTTTAGGTGAACATGTAGAACAGATGTGGGTCACTAAATATATAGTACTATGCAACGCAGAGTGATTCTGCATTCATTTTTATAAGACTATGGTATAGAAAGTGACCACTCTATGGATTGCTCTTTTTCTGGATTCTGTTGAATAATGGGATCATTTGATCTTTACAAGGAATGATATAAAGTCCTGAGATCTCAGCGGGTCTTAAATTACCAGGACTATACTGCTGAAGATACCAGCAAATCACTCGGGGATTCTGTTCATTTTAAATCCAACATAACTGCATGTGATGTTTGTCTATTTAAGAATCACTGGATAAGCATAATTTCCAGGGCCCTGGAGCATTGTGCTATTTCTGCCCTTCACTTACTTCGCCCATTAAATAACCTGGGAAGAACACTTATCAATGAAACATGACAGGACCGCAGAACATGAATGAGATTTGAAGTAGCAAATGAGCATCCAGGATGATAAAAATCAAGCAACATTGGCCTTATTTACTTGTAGGTGCTGGATCATGTCGGTGCCCCTTTCTATTGAATTCTGTTTGGGGTTTAGTGATTTATTTTACCGGTGATAGCCCTGGAGGGAAAACTGCAGCATAAATGACACCAGAAAAGTAATCTCTGGGCAAAAAAGTGCACCTCCTGCAGAGAATCCTGTGTATGTCACTCTGACTGCCATCATTTGACAGAATTGTATCCCTCAGATAACATTGATTAATGACTACTTGATTGTGCACTTGGCACTTTCTGTGGACAAGTTGGCTGCTGTTCGCCTACAAAATACAGTCACTACACGTGACAATAAATCCAGTGAAGTGCTTTGAGATATCCATCTGATGTGAAAAGCGCTATATCAAATGCAAGAATAAGAATAATTATTATTAACTACGCTGTGGATCTGAAATCTATTTTTTACAGCACGTGTTCAGATCCGCCTTTCATTGGAACATTTTAATTTCTTTGATGCCAACTAAGTGCCAACTATGTGGAGTCCTGTAGCTCAGTGGTTAGAGCACTCGCTTTGCAAGCGAGACACCTGGGTTCAATTCCAGGCAGAGGGCGAAACCTCGGGCAAGTTTCCTTACTCCACACAGAGCCTAATAATAATCCCCCCCAAAACCAAAAACAATAATTAAATTGGTCATTTTCAATCCACAACTGTTTGTGGGACACTGCTGTGCACAATTGGCCGAATGGCCTACTCCTGCTCCTCCATGTTAATTGGCTGCCCTGTTTCGCCCACAAATATACAATCAATTCACTTTACGGTATATTCTGTGAAGCGCTTTGAGACGCCTCGAAGGCGTGAAAAGCGCTATATCAAATGCAAGCATTATTATTATTATTTATTATAAGTCCCTTCAACCTCATTCCAACCACACCAGAGATTAGCCCACACGCATATAATGATATAACTGTATTTGCCACAAGATATTTACCGTACACAAATTAAACTTCTTCGATGATCACAATTATAATTAATGGTAGATTATTGCATTAAATTAGAAATAGGCTTAGCATTCTCAAAACATTTTAATAACACTTTTTTTAGTGATCTATTTTAATCCCAGTTGCGAAGGAGTAACTTGGGAGCACTCCAGCTCAAATGGTCTTCATAAATGCCTAGTGATGGGTTTTAAAGTAAAAGAGGATTTTCAGAATAGTGCAAAAATGGAAGCCATTTAAACTATTTCATTCTGGTGATTCAATTTACCCTCTCATTTCATATCCATTTAGCTTTTTGTGCCTTGTATTTCACTTTCCGTGGTTCAGACCTCTGTATGATCGTACTTAGTTAGTTGGTTTCCTTACAGATAGAATTTTCCTCCCAAACCAAAACCTTTCAGTCCTTACAATGAAGCCACTTGAACCTTTCAACTTTCAGCTCGTTTACAGCATCTGGCAGACCCTGACTCAATTCGCATCCCATTTCTGAAAATTGAACTTTCCTACTGTGAGTTAATAACTCATTTTGACACTAAACCGAAGGAGGAATCTGGAGCAAAGAACATTAACTCAAAGCTTGGTGTATGCATTCGGCAAGGACTTTTGACCAGCTCTTTCAGATCCTTCGAGTCTGTTTTTTTTCACACATCTGTGATGATACGCAATCTGAGCCATGATAAGTCTCCATACAAATCCTTTGAACATGTTAAATGATTTAGGTTTTATTTTTAATGGCGATCACACTGATTGTGAAAAATACTCTCTCTTCGTAACCAGATGATTGTTAATTTAACTGGGTTTACAGTGGCCAAAAACCTTTAATTGTACCTTGAAAGCAGAAATGCTTCAATTAATCTTGGAGGGTGAAACAGTAAATTGCAGCCTTTTAAAGTAAAGCCCACCACGTTGCAAAGCATTGAGGAGAAGAAATTAATCCGATAGTGTTAGGGTCTTTGCACAGCCAATAAATTGCTGTGCCGAGTTACAGAATTTAATCTTCAGAGTGGAGAGATTCTATTCTATTTTGCAAGATCGACAAGGCCCAAACTAATTCAGAACGGCCCCCTAATGCAGCACAAAACTCAATTAGCATCTGCCATGTTAACGGCCTATCGCGTTCTCCAGATCAGTCTGTGCTTATTAGGTACTTTGGAACATGACTTGCAGAAGCATACGGAAAAACCATTCGCAGACTCGGAGAGCTGCGAGCGCTTAATGCTCTCCCTGGCTTCTGAAATAAGCGGCCAGACGCTGAAAAGATTGAACCGCACACAGGCACAGTAAAATTAAATGTATGTTCTTTCATTTATTACAATCTTGTTTTGATAGTTCCCATTTCGCAGCACCAGCTACACTTAAATATATTTACTGTGTAAACATTGTGCAACAATATTATTGTGATAATTTGTATCAAAACATCCTGAGCAGAATGATGTGTTTATCTCCAGAAATACTTGCCTGGAGGTATCAAGTACACTGAACTTGTTATTAAAATATTGCAGTTCACTTGAAAATATTGTTATTGACGGGAAAATCAGAACGTCAGGAAGCCATAGACCCATAGAGATGTGAGACAGAGCAAAAGGCCATTCAGACCATTATTTTGTGTTGGTGTTTGCTGATCCCCACGAAGACAAACACCATTTCCCCATTTATTGTGTAAAATGTAAATAACTTTCCTGAGGGGTGACGTACAATTGCTTTGGACTTCATCACAAACATCAACTAGCGCTATTCCTTTTAACCCACCCATCAGGAAGCCCAAAACATTAAAACAAGGAAATCTGTCCTGGATGCAAACAAATTACCCTATTATTACCCTAAGTGACAACTGTGTATCCCTTTAAAACAACAACAACAACAACAAAATTACATCTGTGTAGCGCCTTTCACGTCGGGAAGATGTCCAAGGCACACTTCTGTCACATAGATAATAGTTTGGAGTAACAGTAATCTTTGCATTTAATATAGCGCCTTATCACGTCGTCGAGACATCCCAAAGTGTTTCATAGGATATAACGGGTAGCGCTCTGGGAAGCTACCCTTCGTGAGGGGCGCTATATAAATGCAAGTTGTTACTGTAAAGCGGATTGACTGTATATTTTGTGGGCGGAATTAGGAAATGAGACCAAATTGTTCTGAGCTGTGATGTGTATGTGACGCAGCCACAAATACTTACTAGGTCGGCCACAGGTGATTTCTTCCTGTTCTGTTTCTCTACTTCAACCTGCATTTTAGCCATTGGTTTTGCCATAGCAAGGGCCATCTTCGCTTCAGCCTGCAACTTCTTCTGCCTCGTAAGGAAATCCATGTCATCCAGTGATTCAGATTCCTCCTCAGTGGTGTCTCTGTCGGAGTATGACGAACTTTGCTTGCTCTAAGAAAATAGGAATCACCCCCCCAAAAAATGTTTTTTTTAAAATGTGAAATGCAGACCAGCTACTGCATAAAAATATATTAATTTCTATGAAAAACGTAGCTGCCATAAAATATCCACGGTGTTAATCCTTCAAAAATATTTTTNCAGTGAACGTTTTTTTTTGCAATGATGGCTGTGACCCATTTTGCTCCTTCGCTTTTATAAATGAAATACAATTTTGCTTGAATCGCAACGAAATGAATCTGTCTAATATGCTTTCCCGGCAAACTATATGAACTTCAATTTAACCACCGTTTGATGGAGACAAATAAGAACCGGGATCAATTATTAACAGCTTAATGGATCATTTGTGCTTTGTCTTTACAAATGAATCATTTGCGTGGGCGAATTCTGGTTTTGAATAAATGACGGTGTTTCAAAATATGACGACAAAGCCACTGGATATGATTGAAACGTTCTGAATAATGACAAGTTAGATTAAGTGATTTGAACACTTATTAACAGAAACCAGCTACATTATCAAAGGTGGAAATAGAAAATGCTGCATTATTTGATTTCAGTAGAATCAGTTATTGTACAGGGTGACCAAAAAGTCATAATATCTACCCTACTATCTAAAACACCCCCAGAATATCATCATTTCTTTGAGACTTATAAGACATTGTAATGGTACCACAATTTTTTGGTCACTCTATAGTATCTAGTTACAACAACCACAACAAAATTACATTTGTATTCTTACCATTGGAGACAAAGGAGTGTCCAAACTAGTCTCAGTCTTGCTATCATCTGCATCACTGTCTTTGTCGCTTCCGCTATCATTAACAAAACAGATCTGCAGATTCATTCCACTCTGAAGGCTGCAACAGAATCACAGAGTTGTGCCAATTAGAAGCCAGAGCACAAGTTCACGACCAGAGTAGTCTACGCAAATGCAACCACTACACTTTGCAGTAAATCCTGTGAAGCACTTTGAAATATCTGCTCAATGAGAGATCACTATATCTAACGACAGTTATTCTTATTGTGACATAGTGAAACATCAGTAGAGTATGAGATACTTGGAAACTACAATTCATTTCTATTGACTTTAGCAATCTCAACGTTGGTAATATTCGGAGGAGAGATGACGTAGAAGGATTGATAAGAGAGAGAGAGAGAATGTTGGTTTGAATGTAGGGTAAGGATGATGTTGAGCAAGTTTGAGATGAGAGTTTGCTGTGATGCCTGACCTCTCCCCACAGATAAATGTTAACATACTTTTTTTTAAAAGAGATTTTTTCCCCCCGACACTTACCGTGAAGAGAGGCTAGGCTTGCCACTTTTGCTGCAGCTGGTGTAAATTCCTGGGCCATCATCGAAGAAGCTGCCCAGTGCCAACTTCTGTCGGATTGATTCCCTTTCATTCTTTTGAGCCTGAAAATGAACAGAGAAAAATATTTCAGACAGCGGAACAATCTGGAAAGATGACTGCATCTCCCCTCAGCTGGTTTGAAAGAGTCAGAAACATGTTACTAAAAATTAAGAGACATATACCACGGGTGTGGAGATGACTTAACACAATCTGATAATGGCAGATAATGGTACGTTAATCATACTAAAACCCTCCACTCCACTGTTTATTCTTCACTTTACCTATTTCCTTAATCCTTTAGCACTCTTTAAACTGGGCATTCACAATAGTGATTCAACTCCTTTGACAGTTATGCACAGACCTTATCTCTCCTCTGCTGTTCTTATCCATTTTTACCAAACAGTATATTAGTGAATCTTGTTAGTAAAGATGCCTGACTGTAGGTAATAGGAATATGACTTGCTTGTATGCATCGTTTGCGAACACATTCCTCCTCCACAAGCACAATTATGGACCAACAATAGCAAGTAAAGATTGCAACCCAAACTATCCTTCACTCCTTACATTGCGACACCAGGTAACTGAAATACAGCTTTTTGAGTATTCAGGAGATAAGGGAAGGTAACATCTGAAAGGAGGTATCATAATTGCAGGAACATATTGCTTTTAAGCACTTGACACATCCAACACTGAAAATACTGATTGTGCAAGTGATGGGAATATAAATGGGAATGGAGTTTGATATAAGCATTCCTGTGACATCTCTTGCAACCAAGTTTCAGTTGCTGGATTTTCTAAATGTCAGTGAAGCTGCGGTTCTGAATTGATCACGCGATAATATAGTTAGAAGCTATTGCAAAATGTTTTTTCCATTTGCTGAAAATACACCATTGCCATTTACACAATGTAAATGGCAAATCAATCTGCCTTCTTTAATGTACTACCATGAGTAAAAAAAACATCCCTCACTTGGCAGGCAATGCACATTACATCAATCTTCAAGAAGATTATGCAGTACTACAAACATGCATATGATCAAGAACACGCTACAGAATCTCCCAAACTGGTTATCTTTCCTCATTTTCAGCCTTTAGAATAATACACGTTCCCCATACCTGGAGGTTCAATTCCCTGTCGGAGCCAGAGCGCTTCCGCTGGTGGTTAAATGGTAGATGCCAAAGACATCCTGGTAAGAAATGAATCCGGGAAGAAAACATTCTCCAGTACAAGGTCTGGTTCCAAAATAACCCAACATGCTGGGCTCTCTGTAGGTCACAGGAGCCAGCATGTCTACACAGAGCAACTAATACAGTCCCTCTTCACAGATGAAGGTAAAAAGCAATTTGTTTATTGATTTTTTTATGGCTCTTACATCAATGAAATTCATGAGGGAACCAGTTGTTCAGCACTGTAAATTCCCAACAGAACATCTGCTCAAAAGGCAGATTATTATTGTTATCATTATTATTATTATTATTATGCTATGGACCTGGCATTGGTAATGGTACTTTCACATAACCAATCACATTGTTGCAAAACAAAAGGGAAACAACAGTTTATACACACTGTGTTTCTCAGTTTAGGAAAGATGGAGGACCAAACTAGTGGATGGCTTCTCTACACCAATTTATTTATTTTGGTCAGCCGGGTTCCTGACACACGCGGAAACCCAACAGTTAGCTTAAGAGTATCCAAACTATCATCACCTGCACTGACAACCTGCTGACCCGGCTCAGTGGCCATTTTGACTCACAATTCTGTAATAATTAAGGGTCTAATTTTATGGATCCTAAACCCCGCATTATAAGCAGGGGGCATCCTGCAAAACTAAAGCATTGTCTTAATGAGGGAAGAGGAAAATAATTTATAAACATATCCATGAAGCCAAAACAAACTCCTCCATTAAGAATTAGAAGTAATAAATATTGTTGATTCTTTATATCTACAAGCATAACCACAGCTTGCTGCCAGGTTATATATATAGCTTGTTTTTGTGGAGTCAAGTCATTCAAATATCCACCTGTGAGATCAACAATTCCCAGGAGTAAGATGAGAACAGAAAATCAGTAGAGTTCTTCAGTCCCCCCTTTGCAAATCCAAAATGGTTTCATCTTAAACCTACTGCCTTTCCAGTCTGCGTCTTCAAAGTGTTATTTCAATCGATTACTTTGCAATTGTGTGCTGCAGTGATTTAGCAATCTTAGAAACCTGCAGGAGACATTGATAATACTGTAGTTGCTAATGCAATCAATGCCTTCCATTCACACAAAGATAAAGTGACGTCTCAATAATGTCACCTGTTAACCACACTGTTCCTGCTGCAATCTTTCTGTTGGCTGACTAATATGCCAGCACAATGTTAATCAGGTCTTATCGAGTTAGTTCAAGGAGAGGAGAAGCAGCAGTTTAGCTGCAGGTTTCATGTGCAGTTTTTGCTGACGATATCTTTCAAATATTTATCTCTGAATATTCTTAACAAGACGCCCGGCCTGAAAGGACTGATTAGGATTAATGCGAGATCAGATGGCAATTTCGGACATGAAGTGAGCACCATGACAGGTCAATTTTCCTTCCAGCTGTTTTGTTTCAAACAAGATTTTTTGTAAAAACCCTCTTAACCCAGAGGCTCTTTGCGTTGGCCAGTAAATCATTTCCATACTCGGAAAGAGAGAGACGCAGCAACAAAAATCGAAAGCTGGAATTCAAGGCAGCATTCTCAAGCGTGATTGGAAGTAGAAATTTGTTATGTTGCCTGAAGAAAAATAAAATATACTCAACACTTCCATAGTAGTTTACAATTCTAAGCACAATTAAAAGACTCCTGGTTAGCAATCATTTCTCTGCCTTTTCTCAAGGGAGGAACTTTGCTGATTTTCCCACTCACTAACACACGGGAGCTGAGGCCATTTTACAACAACAAATTGCATTTATATAGGGCCTTTCACGTCAGGAGGACGTCCCAAGACACTGTGTAGCACTCTACATACTGCTTTGCTTGAGCTTAATACAATAACATTATTCTCTTAAGCCAGAAACTCAACCCTACCACTTTCAGATCAATGTAATTTTATGATTGTGATCATTCATATTGGATTGGCATCATGAGTTGTAACTGAAATATACAAATAAGCATAGCATTTATTCATAGAAAGTTATATTTTCCAGCTGCTATTCTAAAGAAACTGCTGCCCTTAAAAGTGCGTGTACGTGTGGGAGGGCGGTTGAAATTTACACTGTTTTATTGTGTGTTTCTTGTAATAACTTTCCCAAGAAATGTATTGTGAAATGACACAAATTTCTTTGCATTTTTGTTTTTACCAGCATTAAACTTACCCGTGGGTTAGTTTAATGCTGGGACCTGCAATGGCCTTGAGAGCATCAGATGCTGAGATCAGCTAACGTAGCACAGATCCGAGACCTGAAACTCATCACGGTCTTAGCCTTAGGACTATTGTCTTACAAGTTAAGATTGCGCAGATTTTTGGAAAATCTGTAATTTCCTAAGAACTCGGGAAAGCCAGCCTCCAAATAAAAAGTACAGGATTTTAAGAAATTTCCAACACTCTTCACCATCTTAAATTCAAGAAAAATCTTACAGGCAAAGACCAAATTCTTCAAAGAGAAAATTAAGATGTTCATCAGTAACCTTACATTTTCAATATGTAGAGGAGCCAATAACCGTATTCCACAAGCAGTGACAGGAAGTTGTCAACTATGGACCAAAAGCCTAGATTCTAACTCAAGCTTTACAGCCATTGGAACTGCAAATCAGTTAATCCCAATGATTTCAGATTCTTACCTTTCTATAATTGGCCACGAGATTTGCAGCGGACACATTTCCATTGATCTTGGCTATACCATCATGATTCATAGACATACTGTAAGTGGTTTAAAAATAAAATTGCTCTCATGAGCACTTGACTTTACATAGTACAACCAGATTACTTCACTTTAGCCATAACCAAAATGAACTCAAGTTTTTGTGTCCAATTTTCGGCCCGTTTCACTTCTCATCTTCCCTCTTCTTAGAATCTGAACAATTCTCGGTCTCGTAACATGAAGCACCAGTAAAACTCTTTGGTCAGTCTCTAGATCCCAATTAGAGTAATCCTGGGTTTGTTCACTGTTTCCCTCTGTAGCATGGTGTGAAGTCAACTGCATCAAAAATTCCAACACCTTCCTTCCCTGTGTTCTGGCCTGTCAGAGGACTAGACCTCCTTCTGTCACCCAACACTTCCCTTAACGACAAATCTCTGCTAGATTCACCCTCCAAAGCAACAGCAACAGATTATGCCTTTTATCTAATAAAGAAAAAGGTTTGCTTGTGAGCTGCTGCCAGTTAATTGCACCCAGAATTATTTGTCAGCAGTCTTGCTTGCGTTGCTGCTAAATGAGAAAGACAGCTTCTCTCCCCACCCCGTCACTGTTACTATGGGATAAAAATAGACTGCTAGACTGCGTTCATCAGTGCTGCACTGGCTTGTCGTGAATGACCAATGGGAAACCAACAGTAAGAGAACATAGCTAAACCAGGCAAAAATGCCAAGCACATGTCTGGCCTATTTAGGGAGGGGAGTTGGAGAAAGAGAATCGCAAGCTATAAATGTGTATGTAAAATGGAATGCCAACCTTATCTTGCACCAGGACATTCCTGTTAGCAATGTGCTAAACACAGATCCCCACTGCTAATTTCTCTCCCCTGTTCAGCAGATTTCACAGTCGCACAGAAACCATTTCATTATATATATTAGAACAGAACTGAACGACAGCAGGTTTTTGAAAAATTAAACAGAAACAGTTTGCAGTAATTGAATTGCCAGGCACTTGTTTGGGAGTAACATGGGAGTACAGTCATTTGCTTGGGTTTGTTTTGGTCACAGGACTATTTTAACGTGGTTAATGCAGGCATCTCTGCGTGTCTGCCACTGTTTGGAACAGATTTTTAATGACGTTACTTGCTGGCAGTATTTTCAATTCCATTGAATGTAATTTATTTTATATAAAAATGATATGCCTTGGGGGGAAGAGAATTTGTCTGGAGCTTGCATTCTGCTGAAATGAC